CTGGGTCGCAGTGGGGTGCTGGAGCCTATCCCAGCTGCCATTGGGCAGAAGGCAGGATACACCCTGGACAGGTCGCCAGTCCATCGCAGGGCAGACATACACATTCACACCTAGGGGCAATTCAGCATGTCCAATCAGCCTGACTGCATGTTTTTGGACTGTGGGAGGAAACCGGAGTACCCAGAGGAAACCCACGCAGACACGGGGAGAACAGGCAAACTCCACACAGAAACGACCCTGGTCGCCCAGCCGGGAATCGAACCCAGGCCATTCTTGCTGTGAGGCAACAGCGCTACCCACTGCGCCGAGTTTCCTGATTTTATCCATAAAAATCTTTGCAAATATATCATAAATGCATACCCAGCGATAATGACTCATCCTAAGTCTGTTCCTATTCTACATTAAGGCTTTTGTTTTAGCACACCCTCAGACTCTCCAGGCTTAGTCTGTTATGTAATCTTTTAACCTTTGCCAGCTGCTCTAACATCCATCCTCAGCCATTTGCAGGTCAGAGCAGGATGTCTCGTCTGAACAGTTGGGATTGCGCAAGAGCTTGTAAGCAGCCACTCTGCCAGGTCTGCTTTAATCAGATAACCCAGGGTTCCCTCTGATCCTTAAAGTCTTAGGAGGTCTTAAAATAGATTCTGTTGTGTGGTGGAAATTGTTTTATTTTCTCTTTGTTGAGGTCTTAAAGGACAGTAAATTAGGATAAAGGATGGTAAAATTGTACAGTCACCCTGTAAACTACAAACTGCAGTAAAGTTCTTTTACAGCTTACCTGCAGGATGGTTTAACTAATGACAATAAGCTATAGCAGCTTCTTGTTCTGCATTTCACAAGCTGTTTGGATCAGCAGACTAACCGGCCAGGAGCCAGGGTGGCATAAGGACTGTTACAGATAAGCCTAGCATATGTACACACTTGTGCTAGCTTTGCTCTGCTATATTATCACCTAACCTCTCTCTTTCTCCTCTAGCTGTCAGACAGGATCCTGCGCCACGGTTGAGGAATTAAACAAGCCCAGAGGGGCCATTCGGGTAAAACTGAGGAAGCTGAAAAAGTGACACTCATCCTATGTAAGCCAAAGAGATGTGTAACGTGCACAAACACACGAGTAGAAGACGAGGAGTTCAGGTGAGGCAAAACAACACAGACTGAAAACTGAATTTCTCCCTTTTTTAAAATAAAATGCACTGGTAAACATTGTTAGAGTTTATTCTGAAGTTATAAGGAGTGTTACGAGGAGCTTGTTTAGTGAGGAGCAGAGCACGTGGGTGGTGCGAAGTAAAGAGAGGACCTGTAGGGTTTTGTCCAGAGCGGCTTTACAGAAAGTTGGATTGTTGTTCTTTCACTTCAAAATCACTCTAATACCGCTCCATCCCAAGAGCCAGTCCATAAATTCTGTATTCATGGAATGAAGTGTGTAGTGCTTTGTCTATACATTTAAGACATAAACTAAATATCATAAGAATAAGCAGAGACATTATAAAGGCGGAGGTTGGTAATAATTAAGCCAATCAGCTCGCTGGTTAAGCTGCAAGTGGTTAAAGCTTCCCCTCATTGTGGAGCTGTTTTTTTGTTTTTTTAGCAGTAATGGCAACCAATCAGCACTCAGTAGCGGTAATGCCAACCAATCAGCACTTAGTAGCGGTAATTCCAACCAATCAGCACTCAGTAGCGGTAATGCCCATCAATCAGCACTTAGTAGCAGTAATGCCAACCAACCAACACTCAGTAGCGGTAATGCCAACCAATCAGCACTTAGTAGCGGTAATGCCAACCAATCAGCACTTAGTAGCGGTAATGCCAACCAGTCTGCACTTCGTAGCAGTAATGCCAACCAGTCTGCACTTAGTAGCAGTAATGCCAACCAATCAGCACTCAGTAGCGGTAATGCCAACCAATCAGCACTCAGTAGCAGTAATGCTAACCAATCAGCACTCAGTAGCAGTAATGCCAACCAATCAGCACTCAGTAGCAGTAATGCAAACCAGTCAGCACTCAGTAGCAGTAATGCAAACCAGTCAGCACTCAGTAGCAGTAATGCAAACCAGTCAGCACTCGATAGCAGAAATGCCAACCAGTCAGCACTCGGTAGCAGTAATGCCAACCAGTCAGCACTCTGTAGCAGTAATGCCAACCAATCAGCACTTAGTAGCAGTAACACCAACCAATCAGCACTCAGTAGCAGAAATGCCAACCAGTCAGCACTCAGTGGCAGTAATGTCTTCCAATCAGCACTCAGTAGTAGTATTGCTGCTTAGTCAGCACTCAGTAGCAGTAACGCCAGCCAATTAGCACTCAGTAGTAGTATTGCTGCTTAGTCAGCACTCAGTAGCAGTAACGCCAGCCAATTAGCACTCAGTAGCAATAATGCCAACCAATCAGCACTCAGTAGCAGTAACACCAACCAATCAGCACTCAGTAGAAGTAATGCCAACCAATCAGCACTCAGTAGCAATAATACCAACCAATCAGCACTCAGTAGAAGTAATGCCAACCAATTGGCACCCAGTAGCAATAATACCAACCAATCAGCACTCAGTAGCAATAATACCAACCAATCAGCCCTCTTTTGCATATGTCAACACTCAAAGGTCTATGCCCTATGTCTATACTAGCTTTACCTCGTCCACCTGTCGTCATTATTTCCCCTCAGGAGAATCCCTGAAGCAGCTTTAAAGGCTGTTCCATTACTTTATTCGCTGAAGTGAAGGGTGTTAGATGAGCCCTTGGAGGGGTGAGGGATCAAGGGTCAACCAGAGTAAACTTCAGCAGCAGAACTTGCCCAGAAATCATTGCGACCTGAATTTCCCTTTTCAAACCCAAACATAATGGTGGACAAAGTTGTTTACAAGCCATAGCAATAAACTACTTACAAAGTCTTAACATTTAAAAATCGTAACATTGGTTTTCCTGGGGTTTCATTTACAAACTACTCTATCTGTTCTACATGACTGCTAATGCATTAGGCATTACACCACAGTTTACAGCTAAATCAATTACTCACACACATTCTACACGTTATGCTTAAACTCACTGAATAATCCGCTCCTCCTCTTCGACACTGAGTGGTGAGACGAAGTGGGTGAGGGCAAGTTAAAAACGATTTGAAACAGGACTCTAGTTACAACAAACACCTGTTTAAGGGATAAAGAGAGGTCAGAAAATGGGAAAATAAACAAGAAAAAAGTAGGATAATGTGGCTGTTAAATGCAGCTTAACCCCAACATTCACTCTAACGCTATCTTTAACCTTAATCCAAAATCTAAACCTAACTCTAACAATCATCTAAGTTTTACCTGGTAGCATTTTTTGATCATTTGAGCAGTTGTAGATAAGCTACGAGAGGAGATGGGAGACCAACATAAAATAAAACCAATCTAATTATATATTTTGATTATAAACTGTCAAGGGAACAAACCACAAACGGTACAGAAGAAAACATGAGTATTAAACAGAACAGAAATTAGAATTTTAGGTTGTAAATAACATACATAAGATAGAGGTGTCAGACCATCATGCTACTCCAAGAATGAGTCCACTTAACAGGTGTGTAGTTTTTTTAATATGACCATGTACTGTCTGTTCACAGTAAAACATCACATGATCACAGTCTGGAGATGGCATTTCACCAGCAGTAGTAGAGTTAGTATTTGCAATAAAACACCTCTGCCAGTGAACCCTGGTAAGACTTTTCAGATACAATCGCATGTTTTGAAGATCAGACGGATTCCATACATTTGCAGATTCGCCAAATTATGCAGCGTTCATCCACAGAACGGATGAAACAGGACCATGAAGCTGAACACCCCAAAGGCAGAGACTAATGTGGGAACAAAAACAAAGGCACCGACATTATGCAAGTCTGTTTCATTCTCTCTGCACAGAACACAGAACAGGTACTACATCATCATGATTTAGTAACATAAAAAGACAAAAACAGGTAAAACCTGAAAGAAGCACAAAAATAAAATAGAGTTTTTGCAAGAGCTCATTTACCAAACCAGAGGCTGTGACCCATTTTCACATTACTCATCCCGCGAGAAAACCACTGCAGCTCCGTAAGCGCACCAGGTTTTTGGACACTGCATTGAAAATGAGTTGTGTGTGGAAGGAAGTTGTTATCTGATGCTGATGAGCTCCTCCAGCCAGATCCTAATTTTAACTCATTTTAACGGTGGTCAAACCTCCATGTCCAAACCGCGTCACATTCTGATCGATCCATGGTCTAGACCACAACTGGTTATGTTAGTCAACTGGATCCTTGCATCAGGCTGGCTAATGGAACACCTGCACAGTCTTGCAAATACAGTGGTGGTGCAGCCAACAGCTTAAAATGCTTATGGAAGCCTCCTGCTCAAGAGGAAGCACGTGCAGTCTGTGGTCACTTACAACAGTTGTGCCGTCCTGAGTCTTAGACAAAGATAACTTGGGAGACAAATGTTAGGGAAAAAAAGTAAAGAAAACATAAAAGAAATAAAAATGGCCTTGGTTCAGTGTAAAGACGCAACATAAGGGGAATTTCTCTGATTTCTCAAAGTGTCTGCATCGATAAAAGGCTACAATATACAGTCATTCAGAGTGGTATGCAAACTGCTCTGTTCTGAAGAGACCTGCCAAGTCAGAACTGTTCAGAACCAGCTGTATGAAGCAATTAATGCCACTAAAGGCTCCTTCATACAAAGCTATTACGAATGCACTGCCTGATGCCTGCGACACTGTTTTACAATAGTTCTGAGATAAGGTTTTGGCCTAAAATGTATTTTTTTTTTAATCCATTCAAGGCAGAGAGGTACATCCAGGGCAAAACAGCTCCCAAAAAACATTTTTTAAGCTGTACCCGTTTTACCATCATCAGAATTACATATTGCTGCTGTCGGAACAAAACATTAATACCCATTTTTGATGTTTTTTCAGTTTTTGAGAAGTTGAAAATGCCTGTTGGCCTATACGTTGTGTTTCATGATTAATGGACCAAAAGAAACGGCCCAAAATGACTTGGAAAAAATTCTGGTTCCACTGACTTGCATTAAAACTATGTTTTTTCCTTCTCCTGTAAAGTTACCATTTTGGAGATATGAGGTTTTCTTCGGACAGCAGTGATACATTTGTGTTGTAGACACTGCAACTCCTGGATCACAACTGCAAAGAAAACAGTGTCAGCAAGATCCTCTACAATGCCCCATTTCACATTAAACCACTCTGAATGACTTTGTTTACTAGCAGACATTTTGAAAAATTGGAGGAATTCCCCTTTCACATAGATGCAGTCACATATGATGCAAGACATAGCAGTAGCGCTGTGAAAATTCAAATTTATACAGTTTCCCTTCTTACTCCAAATGTAAGTCAGTCAGCCAAGACAGGTTTGATGAAGTTTGCTTCTTTAGTTTCATGCAGGAGCTAATGTAGCTAACAAGTACTGGAAGCTGACACCACAGCAAATAGCATGAACTGCATGCCTAAATCATCAAACATTTGCTTCAAACTGTCAAATTGCTGATTAATCTCAGACAGACTCGCTTATGTGGTTTCTGACACTGTATGACATCCTGCTATCTATAAAAATGGACACAGGTACAGACAATATTCAGGCTTCATGGCTGTTGCCACTGCTTTTAGTTATGAAACGTACTTTCAGATATGGGGAAAATGTGTAAATTTGATTTTATTTATCTAACCTGAAAACAAGGCATGAGAACCTAAGTCCCCACTTTGAGGCAGTCACAGAACCAGCCTGCACTACCCATAATTACCACGTTCAGACACCACACGACTATGGGTGTAAAGATACACTCATCCCATGATTCGATTCTCTTCATGATACTGTGCTCGCGGTTCGGTACTCTCACAATATTTTTAACAACTAAAGGAAAATGAACACTTTATGTTGTTGCGCACATTACCAACAACGCTAGAACTGAGATGTAGAACGAGTGGCGGAGTGGGTTAATAATTGACAGTAATCAGTTGCAAACTTTGGTCAAACAATTGCATTAGATGGCATAATTATTACAACATTCACGCTCTACAATGCACATTGTCACAGATTTGCATTGTTAAATCACAATGCACTGTTACACCCCTATATACTCCCCACAAGTCAGACTTAAAACACAGCACCGCCACTATTGACCCCTTTTCTATTTCTTACTAAAGAAAAGCTTCAGAGAAAAATCATATTTACACTGTTCCACTTTGCCCAGGTGTAGTCGATCAGCCACATGTTCAACAGTCTAAGAGTTCAATAAATGTTAAAGAGCCAAGTGTCCAAATTTAGTCTCTTCAGAACTGCAGCAGTGAGGCTAACCCTGCTAACAAACAGTAGCACTCAGTAGTCACCCAAATAGCCCATATGTTTTTTTCCGTAAATGCATTACCAAAGCTTCTCTCGACCTGCTCAGTCACACAGAATTGTCAGTGTGGTTTAGGATAGTATGACTTACAGTAAAATTCACAAATTAACAAAACTGCAGGCAGTCGCTTTAGACAGCAGGGTCTGTATTCACAAACCACCCAAGGAGTTTGAGTGCTGATGTAGAATCAGGATTTATGACAGTGACTGTCATAAATGTGGAGGAATCTGATCCTAGATCAGTCCTGACTTGTGAATACCGGCCCTGGCGTTGCCTGAAATGGCTGCCCATATTGGCGAAGTTTTTTCATGGTTAGTTTACAGTAAGTCATACTGCACTCTAAACGACATCAACAAGTCTGTGTGAACTTAATGAAGACCTGGCTACGGTTTGAACGGGTCTGAGAAAAGTTTTGAAGATGCATTTTTACAGAAACGGCTATTTGGGTGACTACTGAGTTCTAGGGTTTGTTACTAACGTTACACTCGTAGCTCCAGGTCTAAACTAAAAGTAGCAAAATTTGGACACCAAACACGTCTTGAATGAACGACCACATTAGGGGTAAGCGTGAATCGGGTAAATTAGATTTTTCACAAACTATTATTTAACCTGCACCGAGCTGTCGAGAGGTGACAGATCTCCACAACTCTCTTTTTAAAGTGTCAATCAAAAATCACTGCAACACACAGAACAGTTTACAGCATGACGGCAACAAAATCTTTCAAACACCAACAGAGCGCATCTGCTTATTTACCATCCCGATTCTTAAAATTCACTCCAGCTAGCACTGCAGACCGTGTCCTGCGACTGTACATGAGGACTGAAGACAGGAAGTGGGCACAGATGTGCATATGCACGCACACATGCGCACACTGACTGACCCACTCATAGACACACACATTCACACATCACAGCACCAAAAGTCATTGTGCATAACTGAAATCTGATGCAGAACTATATTAAAATCCATTGTTAAAGTCCTGTGGGATTTCTCATCCTGTGCTCCAGGAGTCTGGTAGAGCTAGTTATGGAGAAGAAGAAAGACAGAAAGAAGGAGAGATGAAGGGGAAGCAGGAGTCCTCAGTACTGGAAAGAAATGACGGAGTTGACTCTGTAGACGTGGTACGAGCGGTTCCAGAACACTCGAGTGAAGTAGTTTGTGTACGGGGAGTAGTTCATTTTGATCTCGTGACAGAATCGGCCGTGCTTGGAGAACGTGTACATTTCACCTTTATCGTACACCACCTAGTGGAGAACAGAGAGTAGACACACAAATAAAAAACAATTTGTTTGTTTGATAAATGAGTTTTGTCTCCGTCATTGTGTCTTTTTTATTTTGTTTGGTTGGTTTCACACAATGACTGAGATGCATCAAATAATACAAGACTGTTATCTGCATTCTTTGATTGATATCTATTCATATAGTGCACATTTTAGTATTGATTGGAATAGCAAGACTTACAACCATCTGAGTACTCTGTGTGCCAGTTGTATATCTTCACTTACTGCACTGTATGTACATCTGTAGTACAGATCTATTTAGTGCAGATTTGTATTGTGACTATCTGCTTTTGTTTGCTTGATAAAAAAACTAATGTTTGAGAGATGAAAAGTCGAGTGAATGACAGAAAGCAGAAATCTTACCTGTTCTGTGGCGTCTGAGACTGTACAGTTTTGGTTAAACTGGCTACAGGCTTGGTTCCAAGTAACTGATGCTAAATATGCCCATTTAGAGGACATCTGAGTGAGTGACGGAGTGAAAGTCGAAATCAAATGTCTGTGGTGTGTATAGCCGTCGCTAAGCTACTATCATGCTTAAGGCCACCACACATCCAAAATGCGAAACCATTGTTTTTAAATGGAGACAGCAAATGTAAGCTGGGTCTGATGAAAGTACACAAACCAGCACGGCCACTCCGAACACTGTCCACTGTTTTAGCATATCACTCAGCAAGGTTACACAGAGAAAGGCAGTCACTCTTTTAGATAAACAGACAAATGATAATGGTATGTTATCTTATTACGAGCGTAATCTTTTTCACCTCGTATCTTTCAGCTTAAAAACAGAGAGCTGCTTGTTTTAAGACTTCTCTGTATTGCAAACTCTGTAGTGGTGAATGAAAATCTTCTGCGGACAGAGAAACCTTCTCCCAGCCGGCAACAAGCTAACCTCCATAGTGGCGGGTGAATATCTCCTTTAAGGAACTTTGGAGAAACTGTTGTCCCAATAGTTTTGGCCTGGTCAGAGTCCAGATCAGATTTAAATCCTATAGATAATATTTGGTCTCGCACTAAACACAAACTAGTGCGGCAATGTTTTGCAACATGGTTTTGAAGTCATCAGTGCTGAGTGGAAAAACAGACATTTCTTTCAGTAAAAAGGTCTGCAAATTTACATACAATAGAAACCAAAGGGAACAGTTATCCCATATTAAGTTACTTTACCTATATATGTAATAATTTGTTGTTAAGACCATTAAAAGCCATTTAGGGATTGGCCCATTATTTTGCCCAGGAGTGTATTTGCATCTGTGCAACAGTTTGGTTGGGTTGTATGTGCAGAATGGTTTAGCCAGAGTGTGTGTAATGGGTTCTTGTCTGTGTGGAACAGTTTAGTACTGTGTTTGTGTTTGATGTGCGGTGATGAGTCACTAACATGGCCGTTGGCGTAGTCGAGCAGGTCTTTGATCCTGCAGCCTCTGACAGGACTCAACTCATTACACAGCTCCTCTTCAATGATGACGTAGCTGCTCTTCTGAGCCGTCAGCAGCTTGTAGACTTCCTCAGCAGAGCGCATGGCATACACCTGATAGGTCTGCAACACACACACACACACACACACACACACACACACACACTTAACAGCTTGGTCACTCAACAGTGTTGTGCAATGTTTTATCACACACAATCATATGCAAAAGTCTGAATACACATTAATTACGTTATTTTGTTGATTTTCTAAGTAAAATAAAAGTTAACACTTTTAGTGCAAAATTTATTTTCAGAGTTTAACATATTGGGGGAAAAAAACAATATACACAGGGCGAATTTTTGTTTTATTTTCTCCAAATATGTTTTAATTTAGCAAATAAAAATAACGGTACATCAAACTGTACAGCTGTTTGTTTCTTTTAGAGGACGTGTTAACCTATATCATTCAGGAAATCAACAAAACACCTAATTTGACCGAGGTGGCCAAATGTCGCATACGACTGTAGCTTAATGGAAGTCTATAGGTAGGCAATATGACAAAAATATTACATCACAATACTTCAAGGCCTTTTCATGAGCTGAGAGATGAAACTGCATTTTTGGGGGATTTGAAAAGAACAGAAACAATGTACCAGCAGTTAAATCCATTAATATCTATGAGAATGATTTTTTTATGCAACCCTCAATGTACTGCACATCATTACATCTAATTAAACAGGGCTAATTATGCTCTCTAGGACTATCAGCATCTCTTGATTTTAAAACTGGGCAAAACTTTCGACAGCTATGCAATGTCAAGCTAAAATCCCATTGTAATGAAACATGAGGCTGTCTGCGTTCTTTAAGGACTCACAACAGAAAAGTTCTTGCCTTTAAAAACAAATACACTCCTATATTAGTTAATGTTCCAGTCCACACCAGCTGCGCTAGACACACATCTTGCGTCCATCAAAATACACGCTCGCAATTTTTGTGTCTTTTGGAGCCTTTTCTTTTTTTTCCCCCCTTACGCGTGAGTAAAGTGTTAATCATACGCTCCCATTTTCTGCAGCATTCTAAACTATATTTAAAATAATTTACGTCAATGTAAAATGTATGGAGAATGTAATCACCTTGTTGTGGTGGTAACAGGCCAGCTCCAATGTTGTGTGGACTTTTCTCTGATATAGTGGTAAAAACTTGTGGTTGCGATTGTGATTTTAATTTAGAAAAAAGGGCAGAAAGAGTTGACGTTACTTATACAACAGAGCTGAGAAGGAGGCTTCTGCCCTGCACATTTAAAGTGCTCCAAAACATGATTACTTAGGCATCTCTTAGCTTCAATGGCCATGTGTAAAGCGCTGCAGTCTACTGGGCTCTGAAGCGAGGTGATGTGGATGCCTGGCATGAATTTATGAAACAAATAACTAAACCAGCAACAATTTTATTTAGGGCTGAGACAATTATTTTACATAATCAATAACTCAAAAGTCAACTCAAAGTGCTGTCCAACGTAGAGTGAGCTAATGACTTAACCTGAAGAGGACAGCAATGTTGTACCAATGTCAGCAGATAGTGAAAGAAAAAGAACAGTCATGGCTGAAAAAAGAAGTAAAGAGTGGGAGCATTTTGTTTAAATGCAGGATAGTCACATACAACATTTGCAAGTCTGACTCTGACCGATTCTGAAGCAGCAGAACAGTCAGTAAATGTTAACCTTCCTCCTCACCTGCTACTCTGCAGGGTCAGGAAACTCTAACTGTGTGGCATTTTCTTTTTCCATTTGACTTACTTTAATAAATGTTATGCTATGTCTGCTGGCATTTCCCTTTATTTAGGTCAAATAACTATTTCAAATCTATTAATTAAATCCTTTTCCATACTTGAATATGTATTTGAAACTCTTTCTCCTGGCCACAGCAGTATAGCTGATTCTATTTCAGTGGTGCTTCCAGGTCAGGTAACATTGTCACCTGGAAAGCCAGGCAACCACATGCTGCAGGCCTAGCTAATCTAAAAACAGCTGTACTATTTCAAAGTGATTTGTGGATACAGGCTCAGCTATGTGTGTGTCTACCCTGACCTTTATTCACTAAACATGACACAAGATCAGCACAACGGCACGGAAATGCTTCATGAATACCAGGCCATGTGTATCAGTGACATTAGGCCAAAGGCATGTAAAATTCCACAAGAGCCTAGACAGAAATATTGCAAAGCAAAGTTCAGCACGTCTCTCACAGACACCAGACACGTACACACATTTGTTATTATACTTTTGTCAGGAGATGTGTGTGTACATATACATTTGTTAGTACCTTTCCACATGACAAACACACACACACACACACACACACACACTCTTACGCTCTCACTCCTTTGCAGAAGGCCAAGGTCCGTGTAGAGAGGCAGGCTAGTGACAGGCCACCCTGTGCAAAGTTTGACTGTGCCCAGCAGTGCAGGACTACCAGCAAATACAGCTGTTAGCGGAGCCTGACTTCTACAGCAGGGAGAGAAAGAGAAAGAAGAGAAAATATTTGTGTAAGCTGGTAAAATATCTTGAAGAGCCCACGTCATATAAAACTGAGAAAAAAGTTCAACTACAATAAGTTGATATAGTATTTTAATATTGCTACAGTTTCACAACACCATTCACCCCAGACTATGATGCCCATATATGCAAACTAAGCTGTAAAACAGTCTGTTTTTGTCAGATCACAAAAACCAACACAACTCATTCATCCTACAGCAGTTTCGCCCAGCCCGTTCACATTGAAGTTATAAGAAGTGTTTCAGTCTGGACTGGTTTTCAGTGAGCCTCAATACAGGACAGACAGTCAGAACAGAGCTCATTTACATATATCAGACTTAAAGGCATAGTAACAAAAACAGCTTGTTTAATTTTAGAGACTTTAGAAAAAGGTCATGTAAAACGAATTAAAACTGTTTTTTGAACATAAAATCACAGTAACAATACAAGTGGATCATGAACAATGTAGGATATCGGCCCTTTAAAGGAACTCTTCTCTTCTGCTAATGTGTCTACAAGCCTTACTTGCTGACTAGCAGGTGATGAGATAAGTGCGAATGTCTTCATGTTTTTTATGGTTACTTTTGTTACTTTTTTTTTACCACTGCTGTTACCATTGTGATGTTTTTGTATTGTAACAGTAGTTTTGATCCTGACAAGCAGGGTCACATGTCATGTCTCCAGGTGCTGAATCATCTACTGATCTTCGATGCCGGTTTATTTTTGAGCTGTTTGATATGGATGCCTTGGGTGCCTTGAGTAGTATTACATGTTTAAAAAACAGAACTGTAGAGGAGCAGGTAATACAAACACCTAAAGGGAGCTGTAGACATTATTATATCTAAATAAAGGCTAAGTATAGCTATTATTTATTCCAACAATCACCTTGCATAAGCGAAGATATTCATAATTTGAACAATGAGACACTCTCTAAGCTTACCTTTTTAAAGTGTTAATCTAACAACGCCAAGTTGTCATCTTTTAGGTCTTTGTTACAGAAAATACTATTTTAAAAATACTTTGCAGTCTGGTTTTATGGGCGCAGTGCTGTTTTTGACAGGTCCCCTGTAGTAAATGATATTGCTTCACCCTCTGGAGAGAAATCACTATTGTGCTATCTTCTTAATTGACCTGTCAAAAGCATTTCACACAGTCGCCCGTCACATACTTATTCTTTTGGTTTTGATTAGCAAGCATGTAATTGGTTTAATAATATATCTTTGTGGAAAAGGTCAGTGAGTGGACACGTCTACATTGTCACTTTCTTGAAAGTGTAAATGAGATTATGCAACAATTCATCCTTGGACCCGTTCTATTTACTACGTATATCATCAGAGCTGACTTATTGTTAATTTAATCCATATATAGTCTACATTTCTATGTGGATGATGAAATATATAGACAGGATGAAATTTACATAGGATCCTGGGGTAACTTCCTCTTTTACAAGTGCTCCTCAGTGATTTTATTTCTGCCCAGATCAGTCATTTCTATGTTTTCTTCCTTTTCTCTTGAGAACAGCTGGAGGAAAAAAAAAATACTGTTTTCCACCTAACTTGGCAAAGGTCTGATCATTTTAGTCCTGTCTGGATACACATCTCTGTTATTTCCCAGGAGAATGTTGCCTCATATTGGGGGAAAAGAAAGCTTTTTTGTAGGTGCTAATCATCATATTTAGTGTCCTAATGCGCGTACACATATTAAACATGTTCTAAATCACAAAATGATGGATGCGTTGAAAGATTCTCTCAATCGTTTACTTGGTCTGGTTAGTAAAACTTGGAGAGTTTTTGCAGGAGTAATCAGAATCGTGAGATCCTGCAGGCTGATAAAAGGAGCGATGAAAATGGCAGCTACAGGTATAAAGCACTGCTTTATGTTCACAAGTCAGCAACTTTTAGTTTCTTAGACATAATGATTATATGTTATACAAACAACCAAGTCTGTAGAAAAAACAACCCACTTGAAACCCACTCATCCTGCAGCGATGTTACTGCTGTTGGTATGCGAGAGCTTTAATACCGAGGAGATGCGTAAACATTTTATTACAGATGTCCCTGTGATAAGCAAATCCAACCCGAATAAAGTTATTAATTCCAATCTGTACTCTGGCACACTATGGTGAAGTTACAGAGTACACACAATAGGAGTGCTTTAAAAAGAGGAAAGTAATCATTAGACTCACTTAATCCAGTTCATGAGCTCTACAGTATCAGGATCATAAAACTCCTGCACCTCAGTCAGCTCAGACAGCACGCGTGGGAAATACTGCAGAGAAAAACGGCAGGTTACATAGACAAACACACACAGGCTGCATGATATAGACAAAATACTAGCACTGTGATGACATTTGTACATATGCATTCAATGAAAACACCCTGGTAAATCCATAATGGGAATTCAGCTGTGTTAGAATGAATCCCTCCCCCCTCAATTATGTTATTCTATAGAGAGATTAACTATTTAGTTTACTAAATAGCGGTAAAAATGCTTGGACAACCTGCATCAGTATTCACCAATCAATTAAACAAACCAACATTACTTGCTTGATTGAGGCTAAAGTTCGTAATAGCACCTGTAGACATGGGTGTAACTTTTTACTGCAGTGTCCAGCTTCTCAACACACATTACTCATATAAAATAACAGCCACAGTAAGTACTGACTTTGCAGATGACCTAGTCAAACAAATGACATGCAAGTATTTGGCAAGACAGATAACACAGAGCTGAAGCTTGAGGCACGAATCAGATGAAGTGCTGTGTTTGTATTGTAGTGAGAAAGAAGCTGTTTTTGAATCTTGTTGTTTTGGTGGGCAAAGATCTACAGTGCCTCCCAGAGGGCAACAGCTAAAAGACACAGTACGCTGGACGTGTGGGGTCACAGATCATCCTCTTTGTTCTTTTTACTGTGCATTTGTGATGGAGTGGGCTGGTAATAGAAGGGGGGGCACCACCTATGATCTCTGATGATTTGTTGAAAAAGTACATGGGGCAGATTTACTAACACTTTGCGCCACCACAAAGTCCATTTAGCCGTTAAAAATTGGCTGCTGCATTTTACTGAACAGGCGCTAAAATGGTACTTCAGCTCCTATAAAGGGATCAAAAGGGCGAAACTGCTCTCTGGTGCTTTTGCCTCACTGCATATGCATTTACAAGAGTTTCTCTCTCATAATATTTAACATTATCATGAACAATCGCTGTTCCATCTAAAGGCTGTTGTTGAAATGTACTGGAATTCAAGCTGCAGTTTCTGTGGTTTTAAAAAAGATGAAGCTTCCAAATAAATAAACAACAAACAAATACTCAAGTTTTCAAATTATTTCAAACTATGTAATAATAATCATGATTTTGTCATTGCGCTGATACCTAATTCAGTCTACACATAGTCAACTGCTACTCTCTAGTGATGAAACTGTAACAGGCGTGATATACTCTAATGAAATCACCAAAAGGGGCCGACGCTGCTCTCTGGTGCTTTTGCCTCATTGCAAATGCATTTATTTGTGAGTTTTCCTCTCAAAGCACAAAATACTGAGATTATTATAATGAAGTGCCTGCTCTGATTTACTGAGGCTGATATTAAATACTCACTGTGTGCTTTTTACCACCTGAGAAAAGCTTTACTACCACCGTTTTTAGTTTTTCAAAAACTTTTTCTTTTAATGGGGAAAAATGCATGTGGAAATGCCTGCCATCTTACATTATTTTTGGTGAAAATAAATAAACAACAAACAATATAATTTTAGAAAAACTGCTTTTTATATTCTGGGGAGATTTTACAACACTTAGCAAAAAGCAGGCTTTGCTTAAATAATGATTTGACAGTTTTCTTTTTCAAGAGATTCTTAATCATGCAAATACAGACTCTTTGGCTCTGCAATCCCTGCTTTTACTTCTTGCTTCATTATTCCTGCACGTTTCATTTGTATGTGCAGTGGTTTGTCCGTGCACTGTGGCAGAAATGTCAATCATTTTTTGATGTACTGCACATAACTTAGAGGTCATGCTAAAAATCATACATTCCCAAACAGCCTAAGTGCGCCTCAATAAAATGAATAAGGGATTTTACATTTTCACATGGGTTCCATATGCACTCAGCACAGAACCTCGGTTTAGCTCATCCCACCAGCATAAAATGCACATTCGTTACAAAACAAATTCAAAATAATCACTTACTTTCACAATTTTCTGATGAATTCATGTCTTATTTTCATGGTGCTAAAATAATAACACACCTTCTTGGCAAGTCAAAATACTGAGAAAATAAATAAGCAAATAAGTAATGTGGAACTAAACAGTCAAAGTTTGAACCTGACACAAAGAAAGATAAAAAAAATTAAAATAAACTAAATTAGCCACCCCCACCAGCACGAAAGTGTCCGTAGACTGTTGGTAATCAGCATCTCTCCTAGTAAATCTGCCGCTATATCTGTACCATACTGCGATAGATGTGGTGAGAATGGTTTCTATGATCACTGAATAGAACCGGGGCAGTAAACGTTCTTTTACTCTGAATTTCTTCAGGTTGTCAGAGAAGTGTTTTCCTTGCTGGGCTTTTTTTGACAATGTGGTCTGTACTGATGTTCCATTTAACTTACAAATTCCAAGTAATCTGAACCCATCAGTGATGAACCATGTGCTGTCTAGATGATTAATTCTCGGTCCAGGCCTGCAGTAACCTCCAAGCTGCCATTCGGCGTTTTGATGAAGTTTCATTTTCAGTGGCTCATCAGGCACCTCTGTCCGTTGCTTAGTAACACAAGACTAATGTTGGTATAAATTCAGCTGACGCAGGGATCTATGGTGATCAACAGAAATTATAAGTGTGTTGTGGGATTTCGTAGTGTCCTTAAAATCACTCTCGAATTCCATTTTACAATTCAGACACTAACAGAAAAATGTATGTAATGGTGCCTTTAAAATGCAAACGGGTACATTTTGGTCAGTCATGGTTAAAATTGTCCTGCATTTTGACCAAAATGATTTCCTTTTGCTGGATTACATGAATACTTCGACTGATTAAAGGTATCATTAACTACATTTACATGCGTATGTAAATGTAGTTAATGACTTGGTGAAATGGCCCTTCACGACATTCCCAACTTTATCCATGTATGAGTTTTCTGCTGTTTAAAATATCTGTGGTCCCTTTTCTCTGTCTTACTTAAATTTCTTCTCATGTCTGATATTTGACATGAGAACACGTCTCTGCCTCTTCACAACTGTTTGAGCCCTTTTGCTTTTTGTGACTTGTGTTTATTTTGGTGTCAAAAAGCTGATACTACCAAAAAAGCTGCAGTATGTAACAAAAGCTCCATCTGTGAGTCAGTGGAACATTCTACAAGGGCATGTTCACTCCTAGCGGGTTTGGTTTGATTAAAACAAACCCTGGTGTGATTCCTCTGTTAGTGCCGTTCATTAAAACAAGTGAGAACTTTGCCATTCAAATTCTGATGCGCAGACCAAGACCTCCTAAGCAGCAGCCACTTTCAAATTATATGGCATGGTTCATTTGAATGCAAGATGAACTAAAAGACCTCTAAATAACACAGAATAAAGCGGTGTCTGTTCTCTACATACCTTCTTTGATATCTACAAATGAACCCTGAATTGGTAATTATACAATCTATAGCTTAAAGTTTAAAACGTGGATGATGTACATCTGAATCATTCCAATATACTAGATACAAGCAATTCATTGCACACATCAATTACATTATGTGTTGTGAATTCACAGTGATTTTCACCCACTTTACGCAGAGGGAAAACCACAGAAATGCGCACATAGCTTATTGCCTAAGACATAGATAAAACAAGATACGTAAAATCTATGAGTCACCAAATGTACTGGCCTGAGCCACATGTATTAATCAGATTAACTGTAGGAGGATTAAGCCATTAGCCAGACTATGACAATTAAGCTGTGTTTTTACATGACCATGTTAGACTATCAGCCTTAGTGTCTATCAAACCACTGGTGTGCATGTAAACGTGGTTACTGACTCATCTGAAACTATGACTGGTCCGGACGCTCACAACACAGCATAAAACTGCTTGTGCAGAGGGCTTATTTGCATATTACAAGCTTCTGTAATATCTAAACTGCAAAAGCCAACATCATGATAACGTTAAACAAACAGTATATTATGCAGCCCTAACGCATAATTACAAGACTGAAGGTAAAGAGTAAATCGCAGAGCTTTATTTATGACATCCTAGTGTCATAACATGATCAGTTATCAGTTGTTAATGTAACAGCAGCACAACAGTTTCAGACTCAGTGCAACTTAACACATAAACACAACCTCACCTCTCTCCATAAGCTGAAGCCAATGATGGTCGGTACTGCTGTGCTCAATATTAGTGCCTGAGGGAAAACACATCATCAGTGGCTCCAGCAGGCCAAGCAGTGCTTCGCATATTCATAATCTATCCAAGCATACATCCACTCGTCCATCCATCCACACCTACCAGCACTACAGGATGGACAGACTTCAGTCTAATCCATCTGAACACGGTCATCCAGAGTTCCGGAGAACACACACCAAACGCGGTGAAGGCACACACATACGGCGTCCAAAGGTACTTTGTCCTGCAGTGGGGAGGAAGCAAAATGAGTGACCCAAAACGGACACAAGAGCACGACTGAATTAATATGAGCAACATGATGAAATGTTATCGTCATTGTGATGTACTTTTTCACAATGTGCTTTTCTGAGTGTATCACAGGTCTCGTTAGAGCTGAAAGATTAATCGTTTTTATACTGAAATTGCAATTTTAAAAAGAGCACAATTTTTCATATTTTATTTTTAGCCGACACATTTTAAGTGGGGAATTTCTACCTAATAAACAAGGAGCTTGTGAAGTGGCTGTAAATGACTTAGACTAATCAGGAGGAAATAAACCACTCAGGACAACTCAATCATATCTAAGTAATCACCTGGCACATTAGCACTCAGCCTAAAGCGTGTGCTAAAAAGTGGATATGTTGGAATTCTTGGCTATTTTTTTTAACTGGCTAAACCTTAATTAACAGAAAATAATCTTGATTTGAATTGCAGCCACAACACTGGTCTGAAAAATCACAAACATATTTTCTCCAAATCATTCAGCCCTACTATCGTCAGTATTTTTACTATTATACTCATTTATTTGTTAATCAGCTGTCCTTATTTCATTTCTTTTAAGTAGGTTGTTTGTGCAAACAATAAATAAAAAAACAAAAAAAACAAACAAACACTGTACTTATATTTTGCTGCCCTTTTGCTCAGGCATTCTGTCCATTCCAATTTGTTTGCAAATCTCAGAAAAACTAAATACCACAATACATTTTGTGTGTAACCAAAACCCTTTCTGGTACTGTGACATTATAAATCACATCACCCACTCTTACTTTAAACTGCATATTTTTGCATTTTCCTCATCCTAATGGACTTAAATTGGGGAAATCTCTGCCCTGATATACTTGACTCAACCCATCCAGGAAATAATCAAGCCTTTTGTAAAAGGATCATGTGTGCTAGAGCAATAGTTTTTAACTCCAGTCCCAGGAACCCACTGCTCTGTAGGTCCAGGTATTTCTGCCAACACACCTGATCCACTACATGACAGTTAAAACTAACTGATGAGCTAAATCAGGTGAGCAGTGGGTCTCCACGACTGGAGCTGATAACCATTCTACTGGAGCATAGGGAATATTTGAATTTGGTGTCCATGATTGTTGCCAGAGGCGACAGAGTTGAGTACCCTGTTTCTCAGGTGTTCAGTAGCAGACAGTGAAGCTATGACAGAACTGGCCTCAGCTAAATGTGTTAAGGACTGTATGTAAACCCTGTGCTTTTGTGATAAGTAGTGGACAGTATAATAAGATGATGTTACCCCTGGAACAGCATAGCGAGAGCTCCGAACAACAGTGTGTGGAGCACATGGTAGATGACCTCCGGCCGCTCTCCTATCCGCCCGTCCTCCATCCGCACACTGCCTTTCAACTGCTCACCACTGCAGACATTCAATTAAAAAAACATTCAGAGAACTAAGTTTCCCATGTTTCTCTACTAGTAGGGATATTTCAGTCCTGACTCCACCCAAGCAGATCAGTACTGGCTACATTAATACACATCCTTTGTCAAAGAAGTTTAGTCTACTGCACTCAGTTCACTAAATTAAAACGGACATCATCAACAATTCAGGGCAATAAGGCACATTTTCAAAGCAGGGTAAATATCTGCAGTGGAACATTAAAAAGAGCCTTACAGCCTCCTGTAATACGCCAGTGTTTCAAATGTGGTTTACCTGAGTCTTCTGTAGATCGTCTGCAAGGTTGAGAGTAGGCACACTAGAAGCACCAGCATGTAGAAAGGCAGGACAGAGGCCTGGGTGAGGCGTAGGAAGAAATCTTGTCCTGGGGACTGAAAACCCTCCTCACACAACAGCAGGTTTGGGATGAACTCCCTGAGATAAACGATAAGAATACATAATAGTTACCATTAAAAATCTTTAGAAAAGCATTTAGATACTATGTGTGTTTGTGTCAAGCACTTGAAACTCACGTAGTTGTGTTCAGTCCAAACTTAACCTCCAGAAATTTCAATATGAAATCACTCTGGTTCGCTGGAAGAATCTTCTACAAATTGAAAAGAAAAAAAAATTCTCTCTCAGAAGAGAAAACACTCAATACATGAACGCATTTTCCTGACCAGAGGAGCTACTGCCACCTCACCTTGACCAGGTAGTTGAAGGTAATGCCTGTGGTGAAGACCAGGTAGAGGTGCAGCACAATCTTCATCAGTCTCGCCACTAGGGGGCCCATTTTCATGTTTTGCTATGCGATGAGAGAAATGCTGAGACAACCAAAACACTCCAGATACAGAAGGACAGCATATCAGACCACACAAATCTTTTTATATCTCCTGTGTTTTGGCCCAATGAGCAAGCATGACAATGTAAAATACTGTATTGTTTCTTTTAAGGGAACGTCCCCAAGTGACGAATATATATTATTACAACCATAGTCGGAGCATTCACTCAAATTTTTAGCAAATTACACAAAAGAAAGAAGCAAGAGAACTTTTCACAATCCTGAAGAGCCACTGCAGCATGTGTGTGTCAGTGAGTTTCACTGGATGGTAGGTCAGTGAGTGTGAGAGTGTTACCTGGAGGTACCTGGCCAGCACGCTGGCTATGAGCAGGCTGAGTAGAGGACAGGATAGCAGACTGGGTCTCTGATACTGCAGAACATAGGCCAGCAACAAAGAGCTCAGGTACACCTTATGAATGTCCGCCGTCTATAGATCACCGGCCAGAAAGAGTGACAGAGAAAAAGAAAACATAAATCTGTCAATCCAAAGGCAATACATCATTACCTGGGGTATAAATCTTTGGCCTCACAACAGTAGAAGTTTCAAGGAGATTTAAGGATATTTACATAAATTTGATATGATTTGGTATGAGTGCATGCTAATTATGCTCTCTTTTTAATGAAATGTGGTCAGAAAGTTGGTCAGTTTCCTTTAGTTTCCTAACAATATCCACAATGTGCTCAGAAAAGCATGGTGTCTGTCACAATAACTAAATGTATCATGCTAGCAATGAAATATTGTCATATTGCCCATCTCTAATCACCCAGTGCAGTCTGTATACTTTTTAGTGTTTCCCACACATTTGCAGCCCCTCATGTATATTTTGTTTCATTTCAAAACTTTCAAAATATTTCATACTGTTATGAACAAACAAGTGCACACTTCACATAATGAGATGCCATATCAGCTGCTTGTGTTTCAATATTTCCAAACCATACATGCCTTATCTGAATGTCCAATTAGGTAAAAAGAAATACTGAGATGAGCCTAGATATGCATTTAGAATACCACCCTCCCCCTCAAGCTCCCCCCAGTGTTCCCTCCAGGTTTATTCCAAACCTTTTGGAAACAATGCTTTTCCTACAGCTCCAGCTAGCACACTGCACACTTCCATTGATTCTCAATAATAAACGCAAACAATAATCCAGAGCATAAGGACATTTTTTGGACTGCACCTGGAGTTAAGACTGATATGTTGCCTCAAGATGTGCCAAATTGTAATCTCTGGATCCCAAAAGTCTGGTAAGCAGAGCTGGGAATTGTGTGATAAATAAATAAACGCTTCCCCATTGAAGTGCGTAGTTTAACAAACATGGTAAACATGTCAGTTATTTTCCAATTTGAAATATTCTGATAAGACTGATTCATAGAATATTATCAAATATTATCAGATATTTGTTGCAGACGTAATTATATTCCAAACTTGATGCAAAAGTGCTTTTTTACGCCCTGTTCACTAGGTACGCTTGTGTTGGTGTTTATGCGCATGTTCAGCACCTTGCGGGCTGGAACAAGGTCAAAGCAGTCCAGAAGGAGAAGTGCGACCCCCTGTACAAACAGTACATAGTGGCTGTGCTCCCACATCACGATGAAGGTGAACGTCGTCACACTCATCAGCAGGTAACAGAACATCTAAAACACAGAAAACAGAAGCCTTACACAAACACCATCAAAAGACACTGAAAACACACAAACACCAGTGTCAAACACGCGAAATTAACCAAACATATGTAAAAAAAAACATAAAATAAATAAAATAAAACGGTATTAAAATATAGCGCACATAAAGCAGGACGTTCGGAGAGTAAATACATATCCATGTGTCCAACTGTCTAGTCGTACCTCTGTAGCGGAGCTGATGCTGTTGCTAAGGAATCCGGTTAGAGCAGCTACTTGACAGGAAAAGTAGGGGAGGGCCCAGTTGTCCCGCAGAGGGATTGCATAGTCCACCTTAGTTGTGTCCGGCCTGCAGTGCAGAACAAAACAGGGGTAAAGCAAGTCAGTGACAAGCTCAAATCAATGCTAGATTAACCAGCTAACCAACATGAAAACTTCATTACCAGTTACAGTTATGTAAAAGTTTGTGCACCCCTGTTCAAATTACGATTTTTTTTTTTAAGTAAAATAATTGACCACACTCTCCTTAGAGAACTGACTTATCCACACATTAAAGCATAGTTACCAGTTATTTGCTTATCTTAATACACAGAAATATATTAAATATTATTTATGTGTATTCTCTTTAGAGGATATGTTAACTTGTTTTCACTCAAATGAACAACAACTGTCATTTGACAACACGTGTTCAAACTTTTGAACATGAAGTGTTGAAGTGTGGTGGAAATATCAGCCCCATTTATTTTTCACTACAACTCAGAAAACATAACTGTTGAAAAGTGGTTAAATCCTCACTGGTTACTTCCTTACATGAAAGCTCTGAGTCTCTAAGCACCTCACAATTTGATTCGTTATTTATGTTAATTCAGGGTTCCAAGATTATAGGTTCTTTATGGATCTCTACAACCTACATCATAAAATTACTTAATTTTATGTTAGTTTAGTTGAATTTGAATAGGTTTAAATTAGGGCTGTGAAGTGATTTAAAAATAATACCAGTTGGTGGCATTATTAATTAATTGAATTTGCTCAAATTTGACTCAGAAGAATTTTTTCCCATTAAAAAAGCAGTGCCTTTCATTACAGCTGTATGAATGGACAAAATATGCTTCACTGGAATGTATTTATTACTTTCACTAATTTAAAAAATTATTCATGATGAGACCTTGAACATCAAAATCCTGTAATTTCCACACATTGAACAAGGTTTCTGATGTCCAATTAGAGCAACAGTGTCTGCTAGTTCAAAGCCTTGGCAAGGGTTCAAGAGAAAGAGGAAATGCTACAGTCTCTGTAGAAACAACTACGCAATAACACAACTTTCTCCTCCAAGTTGATCCAGTTTATTCTAAAATTCTTCTGAAACTTCACTCAACATCCACACAAATCTAGCATTACACAATTTAAACTCACTGACTGTAGAAGTTCAATAAAATATGAGTGATCAGACTGAGGAACAGTCCTCACCGCTGAAATCTTCACCACAGGCAGAACAGAAAAAGGAACGAAACAGGTCATACAACATTACAGCACAGATCTCCAGCATCCCAAAGCAGGTTGAGAAAAAAAATACTTCCTGCTTCAGTCTCACCTGTTGATGATGTACCAGGCCACTGCCAGCATGCCAGCAACCCAGGTGCCGCTCATCACCCAGCTGCAGACGAACAGAGCGGTCACATACACCGCCTGCAGCCCAAACACTACACCTATGTAGAAATACACCGGCTCAATGGCATCCTACAGTATGAGAGAGCAGACAGAGGGAAACAGAGTGATGTCAAAAGGAAACAACAGCTATTTCAACTCTTACGCTATGCTTTAAATAAATGAACTGTTTATGCTGGGACCAGGTGTGCACAAAATACTGTTATACAACAGTTAGTTCCGGGCACACAAGCTGATTGGTTGAGATTTGTTGTTTTATCACAAACATTATCTCACTCCGCTGAGACGTAGTTGCTAAGCAACGACTTTGACAGCTGTAGGAGACGCTCAAGCCATTTGAACGTTTTTACTTCTTATTTTGCCACAAACAGAAAATGGATACTTTTAAGATCATATTTGACTGACAGCCGATTTGGTCAGACTGAAGATGAGACTACACTAAATTCCCAAACTGTCATCACCACTGAACAGCTTTTCAGTCGGCAGCTGTGAGAGAAAAACAGCTAAACAACCTGGAATCAGCCAGAAATGAACCGAATACATTCGCCAAACAAAATGGGCTGCAAGATGCTTTACAGACTGGCTGGAACAAAACAACATTAATATTGATCTAGTAAAAGAGCTAAACTTGATATTGCGGCAGTTTTATGGCTCAGTCCGTACTTCAAAAGGTGAAGCTTACAGCAGACTGTGCAGCGAGTGAGCGGAGTTCATTACTCTGACGAAGCAACAAGCTGCTTGTTAAGGAACTATAATTTGGCAGAAGGAATTGCTAACATTAAAATAATATATAAAATAAATGACACGTTCACGGCCCAGTTTATTTATTTCTTACTTTATTTATTTAACTGTTGTATAAAAGCAATAAAACACTCGAGGTCGTGTGTTATCGCGAATTAGTAATTGACGTATACTTGGCTGATAAATCGGGAAATCTAGCTAAATGGAATTACAGCTGGTAATGATAACCGACAATCTGCCGCCCTTTTTGCATGCATATGCATTGATGTATGTATTATGTTTAGTCTCACTGGGCCAGATGTGCTTGTGACACGAACGTCTGGGGACAACCATAAGAACATTTGTCTAAAGGTTGTGAGGTCGTAGACTTATTAGTGTGGGAACTTGTCCTGCATCTCGTAGAGGCGGAGCAGAGGCCAATGGAGCGCTCATTAACACTTTCTGACGGACAACAAGCTGATGACCTAATGTAAATGAGCATGGCTGAAAACTGCCCCTAAAAAATCTTCAATTAAGCATTGAGATGTGCGTCCGTGTGAGTGGAGGACAAATTCCGATATATAGAAACATTACCTCTTGCTAAGGAATACCAGCTGCAATAGCTAACAGCATTTGGCTAGCTAGATTGTGTTATTCTGCTTAATAGGAGGCAGGTTTTAGAGGGGCTGCACCCTTGTTTGCAGCAGATTATGCCGCAATCCAGCACCAAACTGTTAACAACTCGTCCCTATATGCATATTCTCATTGTAAAATCACATCTGGCCTTGTAAGACTAGTGTTCTGATGCCGCAGAGTGAAAACATCAGCAGTGTGATTATTTTTCACTGCTACAAAAGATGACAGAATGGCAGATAGAAACAAATTAAGCAGAAACACAATGAACTCTCTCAGTATCGGTAATCTAATTGGTTCGGTTGACTAGGGAATATGACGCCGCTAGTATCTTAAGAGTTTTAACCCATTTTATTTATGGCTCACAGGGTAAATTTGTTTTAAAATGCAAGAAAGTAAAATGATCGGTTACTGTTTTCACCATCAACAGTGTGTTAGAAGCCAATGAATTCCAGATCGATGCTTCCCTCATATCTGGAAATACTGATAATACATATCCACACAAAGATAAACGGGCTTGGGAAAGATCCGAAGTCAAGGTGCTCTGACCTGGCTGCCACTGAGTTTGTAGAGCAGGCTGCTGAGAAGCTCTGGGTAGAGAGACAGCTGCTCCACTGCATTTATGGTCTGTCCAGACACAGTCCTGTTATCCCGCGTCAGCTCATACACACCTGCACAGCGAGAGAGGGAAAGGAGGCACATATCACTGAAATAAGTCAGAGAGCACTACTCTCACTCACATGACAATGTCAGATGCATCTTCCACAACTAATGAGACATTCAGCACTATAAATGGAAGGTGGGTTTCTGCACTGGACTTTTCTGGTCTTTTCTATGTGACTACCAGCAAGGTTAAAAAAAAAAAAAAAAAAACCTCAAAATGTGTTGCACTGTGCCTTCTGAGGGATTTCTGCCCAGCAGATGATGTTCTAGCATTGAGTCCCTTGTCAAAAAAATTTGCCCAAAAGGTTCTAATAGCATGTGAATATACAAGTGCTTACACTATACTGAGGATTAATGGGGCAACTTCAAATTCCACAAAGAAAAAAAGCTGCATTACCCCTCTCAAACGAAGAAGCGAAGAGCATGTGTTTATAGTAGTAATAATAAAGGCCACTGCCTCCCTGGAACGTAATCTCCCTCTCCAGCTCCTGAGGAAGAAAAGATGAAGACTTTTAACATCACAGTGATGTTACAACAGAACCTCAACAAGGTCAATGACTGGTCAGTCTGTAAGAGCCTGGACAATATATATCGGTTGTCAGACCTGTCGCAATTACATAACTGTCTGATTGCAATCACTTGAGATAATCACAATTATTTAATCTGACTACAACGATTTCCACAGTCATCATAGTTAATCACAACAAGCATAACGTGAGTTGGATGTGTTTATTAGTCAGCTTGAGAAAAATAAATGCGAATAAAAGTCTAAGGTTCTAATTTTTTAACTGTGTGCTGTAACACGTTTAGGGGAAATGTTTGTTTGTTATTATTGGTTGCACAAACTAGCTGACCAGTCAACTTATATCAACAATGACGATTTAAGCTTGATGTCGACTGGCCGCTGATCACGTGATTATGGCACTAACAACATGGACGCCTTTAGAGAAGAACAAAGGTAAAGAGCCTGGGGATTTTGGGATCCATACTTCCTGTTTCTTGAAGGCTAGCAATGAGATCTCATTGGAAAGGGCATGCCACGCTCTACTGACCTGTAAAGATTGAAGACTCCTATTTTCGCTGAGTTATCGTGCACTAAATTTTTCCTAGGGTGCACCTAAGTCGGATACAAATTTGTGAGTTTCTGGGGTCCGTATCTTCAGGTCCCTGAAGGCTAGCAATGCAACCCAGGGCTCGATGGAAAGGGCATGTCATGCTCTACTGACCTATAGAGTTTGGCTTTGTCATGTATTTTTAAAGTTGCTTGTTGCAAAGATTTTAAATCGGGCAACCCCTATTTGTTTTATATATATATATATATATATATAAAAATATAATGTTTGATAGCTAAAACAACTAATGCTAATTTTAGCATGGATGTTTGTGTTGAATGTGTTTTTCGTTCACAGTTTCAGTCTCAAGAAAATTTAAGCTTTGGTTGACACTGTAACTGTAGACACAGTTACTCACAGCACAGTGCAGTGTATCTTCTCTTGTTAGCTGCAAAGTACAGAGATAGGAAGCAAGACAGCGCATAAGCCAATTAAGCTGCTTTAGACTTGTATTTTATTAGTTGCATAAAACAACTTATCATCAGCTAAAATTCCATGACTACCAGTTGTTAATTATTGCAATATTTGCCTTTGCGATATCAATATCTCACTATGCAAATAAGGCCTATAGCAGATCGCAAATTTTGAAAGCTGTGAGCATCCTGACTAAATATCAGACATTTTGTTTATTGGTTGGATACATTAGCCTTATAGCTCTAGATTTGTTTATTTGAGCTCGAGCTTCTTCTGTCTCCAGTTGGGAGCTAATAAGTATTGACGGCTAGAAAGGTGACTAGTCAGCCAATTTGCTTTATGCTTGAATAATCAGAGTATAAGTGTGCTTAATGAAAACACTGAACATAGCAGCTCAGTAAAGTCACCTGTCGACTGGAGAACCAGAACTTCCTCTCGTGGTAAGTGGACAGATAGACAGCATACATCATCCCACAAGTGACTGCTGCGAGGCAACCAATAAATACCTTCACTATCCGCTGAAAAAGTAAAGCTGCAGGAGGAGGGCACAGAGAGAAAGAAGCGCCAGTCAACAGCTGCAATCAAGCACACGATAACCAGGTCACAGATGTTTTAAGACTTTGTCAGAACAGGCACTGTGATAAGGTCACTACTACAATACAAAATGCAAGTGTGAACTTAACTAATTCATTTAGTCTACATATTCATATATAACCACATAACCCTCTCAGAGAAGTTGCTGATGACTCAGTTCTGAGGAAAAGCACACAGGCCTACTGTAACATGACCCCCACAGCCCACACACCTTCATCTAGTAATAAAATCCCAAAACAAGGTGAGTAAAACTGTTTGCTAACTGTAATGACACACCTGTATCCACAATCTATGTGTACAAACAAAAAAGGAGGTCCACCAACACTAAACAGAAAAAAAAACACAGTATCTTTCATTAATAAAGCTGCTCACATTTGCTGTTTTTCTGCGCTCTCTTGGCTGAGGATGTGGTCTGCTCTCCTTCCTCCTCAGCCCCAGCAGGCGATGAGCCGTCTGCTCCTGCTACACCTGTTCCAGTCTCCTCAGTTGAGGTGCTGCCAGCATCTGTGTGCGTCTCCTCCACTGTACTGCTGGGGACCCCATCTCCAGCGTGATCAGGATGATCCTCATCTTTTGTGACACCCTCTGAAAAGTCACAGACAGATTTTTTAACATGAGGTACAAGTGCATATGACTTTTCATTCAGTATACAAACTAAACCGAGGGCAACCGAACCACATGGGGCAAAAAACTGTGTAATGCCAGTCAAAACAGTAGAAAGTAACTCAAAAAGGCTTTGAAATGCAGCAACATGAATGACAATTCAACCAACATTAAGCCAGCCTGAGTTGTGGAATGAACTAGCTATTTCCCATCCATGTCTTTACACTGCTCTCATTTGTTATATTTTCTTGATCACATGAATGTTTAACAGAGAATACCCCATTTTAGTAGCTATGTTTATTTCCATTATTCTTAAGAGTTTGTACTGCTGTACTTTAACTTAGGCCTCAACAACTTGGAGAAAATATTGTCATTTTTCTGACCAATACTGCAACTGCGATTATTTTCTATAAATTAAGCTGCAGCCTTTTTTGGCCAAGAAATCCAGCACATGTATTTTTCAGGCTGGTAGGTCATGAGCTCTGCATTATTAGTGTAAATCTCCCACTTAAAACGTCTTAAAATGACCTTGAATAATTTAGGATATAATTAAAATCTTGTCGTTCAAACTCTGAAACTGTGATTTCGATACAAAAATGATTGTTCAGTATAAACACTCATACAATCGTTCAGCCCCACTCTAACTTGAGCAAACATCTGAAACTGTACTTTATAATTTACCAGATAATTTTTACACAAGTATTTGTGTTGGGAATTGGTACACTTTTACCACCTCTGATCAGTAATATAATCTTGAAGGGAACAGTAACATCATGACAGTCGTATAAAGAACAGTAGCGTTAAAGATACACGTATGGCCAGTTTTCCCAGATCAGGATTAGTGCTAAATCTATTGCAGTTTAGCCTTAAAGAAATAGCGAAAAATCGAATCAAAAACAGTCCACTTCCCCAAAATGCGGCTGATCAGCCTAAACACACTTCGCGTTCTAAGATTTTTGTTTTTAGTTGTTTTTACAGTACAGCTGCAAAGCTTATATAATGTACGTCAATGGAAAAAAGCTTTTGGGTGAAACAGACTTCCACTACTTGTTAGCTACTCAAGCCTCACAGCTCTAGTGCAAAACTAAAGAAGCAAAGTCTGGATCGAAAGTCTAGGCTGATCGACTACGTTTGGGGTACATCACCAAATTTTATTAATTTTAGGGCAATTTTGCTCTTATAAATGAAACCTGATTCATACAAGTGGAATAAGATGTTCTTCTGCCTGATTGGATTGACAACCTCTGCTTTAATGCATGTCTAATAAACTGTCCCACAGTGAGTCAAATGAAAAGGACAAGCTGCTGGTGCATGTGTTACCTTCGTGATGCTGCTGATCTACTTCAGATGCAGCTTCCTCCTCCTTTTTCTTCTCTCCCGTCTTTCTGCATCGCAGCTCTGCCATGTCTAGATTAAAGTTGAGGTCCACAGGATTTAAACAGGACTCCTTGACCTTTTCCCCCCACATCAAGTCATAGCCAGACCCAGGACTCGTGGATTTCTGCTCTGCTCTGCCCTGATGAGCCTTCACTGCTAGCCAGCAGGTCCATCAAACACAAGCCTGTCAGTTGGGCAAACGTTAATCTATCACACCAAAACATCAACGTCTCGTAGAAGAAGTAACGTACCGTTAAGGTTTCGTCGGCGTTTTTCTGTTTGAATTGTTGTTTTTATGGACAAAAAAATATATCATATTAGCCAGCTAACGTTAGCCAAGCAAGCTAGCTACATGTACGAGGCTGAAGAATTCCCCCGTTCCACCTTAAATAGTGCAGCAGTTACATGTAAATGCTGCACCATTTAAGGTGGAACGGGGAAATTCGGAAAACAAGCTGGCGAAGAGGAAGCTGGACTTCAGCTTCACGCTACATGTCCTACATGACGTTCATGAATGTGGCAGAAACGGACGTAAAGCCTACCTGCATCACTTATAGCGGCCACCGAGGAAGCTTCACACCATCCTTCCTCCGACTGCTGTTTTAACGGCTCGAACTTCAACGGTCTGCTGTGCTTTTCCGTTGGTCGGTGCTGTATAGCGAACGGACGGAGCGGAGACTCGGGATCTTCAGGGTCAGACTCATGAGTTTTGGCCACTTTTCGTCGTCTGGGCGGACTCGGTACAGTGTAATCCTAAAGAAAAGGCGACGAAACGCTTCAACTAGAGGAGGAAAAAACCCAAAAACTAAACCGAAATAACTTCCAGCGACGCAGGGCCGCCTTGAACTTCGCAGATCTGCTACGGACTCCGCCGAGGGACAAACTTCGTTCGAACAGCCCTTTTCCGCGCAGCGGCTGGTAGCTAATCTGTGGCTAATACCGCCGGGATTAGCACACTGGCTAAAGTTTAGCACAGCAAAACCCGGCAGACGCTTTCAGGGAGGGTTAGTCCGCTTGTGCACTGGATAAATAAAACAGCCTGTTTCTACACGTTTCCCCCTACGGAGCCCCGCTGGTGACATCCTGTATAAATAAAAAATAATGCGTGGCCACGACTCAATAAGGCGTGGGAATGAGATGATTAAGTCGTGGCCACGACTTAGAAAAGCGTGGTAACGAGATCCTAATGCGTGGCCACGACTTAGTAAGCCGTGATCTCGTTCCCATGCTTTACTAAGGCCACGACTTATTTTTATTTATACAGGACGTCACCAGCGGGGCTCCGTAGTATTCTATGTAGAACCATAAACTCTCAAAGAACCATTTGCATGCTTAGAGGGGAATTCCACCGATTTTTCAAAATTTTGGCAAAATTCCGCAATTGCGATATGAGCAGACTCATTCAGAGTGGTTTGGTGTGAAACGGTTCGTTGTAGACAAACAGTGGTGGTAAAAGGAACCAGGGGTCACAATGTCTTCAACACACACACATATATAACTATTTCATTTACTACCCAAAATCACCAGTGAACCTACACGTTCTGAGATTTTTACATGTAATGCTGAGGATAGTAAAATAGTGGAAAATCTGGGAAAAATAAAAAAATGTTCTTTGGGGACCATTTTGCCTTACAACAGCCTGCATGCACCCATCTGCCACAAATACATTCAAATGAATGGATTAACAACACATTTTAGGCTGAAACCTTATCACAAAACTCATCAGGCATCAGGCAGTGTATTCATAACCACTTAATGTGATAACTTTCTGTGAGGGAGCTTTTAGAGGCATGAAACTCAAAATTTTGAAAAAAATGGTGGAGTTCCCCTTTAAAGGGTTCTTTGCATGGTGAAGATATTCAGACTGATGGAGGATGTGTTGAATATGGTCCTATATGGCACCAATAAGGGTTCTTCTATGTTACAAGCTTGGCATCGTAACAATAGTAGAACCCTTTTTGGTGTTATAGAACCATTTTTCACAAAGGTTCTATGTAGAACCATATAGAACACGTTCTCCAACAATCTGAAGAACCATTTAAGCATGCAAATGGATTTTTGATTGTTCATAGTTCTATATTGAAACTTTGTCTTTACTAAAGAACGCTTGAAGAACCACAGTACTGCATTTGTCTTGTTTGGGCACGAAAAAAAAAGAAAATATGCACATAATTGAAAAGAAAACATGCGCACAAATAAAAGAAAACGAGAGAACAGATTGTTGATTGCACAATTTGCGAACCGTTCCCTCAAAGTAATTTTTTACCCCAGCCCCTTTGGGGCTCCATAAAAGTTACACATTTATATGCAAAATATTCAACACCCAAGCTGAGTGAAAAAAAAATAAATAAAGAATAAATAAATTTTACATTTTTCTGCAAATGGGAGTGTGCAATTTCTCTCTCTCTCTCTCTATAAATATATATATATATATATATATATATATATATATATATATATATATATATATAATGTTAAAAAGAAAGACAAAAGAAAGAAATTAGTAGCAAAATTCTTCTTATGTGCATGTAGCTACACGTACCCGAGTACATCAGCTAGTTACTTCACACCTTTGGTTATATATAAACTTAATCTACTCCGCTGAGCATTTTACTTTTGTTCTGTATTGAAGTATTAATCAGACACTCTGGCCAAAGTTAAAATTTAACCCCTCACTAAATGGGCTGTAAACCTGGCTACTCACCTCTCACAGTGGTGCTGCCATAGCCTCTAGAGAGAGATTTTCCAGTTTAAAGACGAGGAAAACCCCCTTCTGATGATGCATTTGAAAAACTTCCACTTCTTTCCGGTGGATTTTGTGGTGGGCTGTTTGATTTTTTTGCTTTTTTTCATTCACTTGCAAATACAAAATAGCTAACATTACAGCAAAGTGTAGCGCAAGCATGTGAATTGTGTCTTTGATAAAGAGTTACTCTAATGCTAGCTTGTCTTTATTAGGCTATAGCTCAGTGGCCAGACTAGCAGTCAGGCCTGACTGGGCACTGCAGTAATTCCCAAAGGACATATTCTGTATTCACGTAATGCATGCTGGGTATTGTAGTGCAACAACACTGATGAATGAAAACATAAAAACAATATAGGAATGTGAATTCTGTGATGAGGCTGAGGGATATAATGCTGTGCTACTGTTACTGCATAACACCACAAACAGTGTATTAAACTCTGGTTTTAGGCTGCAGTGTCCTTAAGTGACCTACAAAGCTGTAGTTCCTTTTTGGAGGAAAAAAAAGCCCTCCGTGTACCACATACTCCCCCTCAACTGTGCGGGTATCACCTTGGTAGTGAACTGATGTGAAAACAGTCTTGTGGTGTTTCTCTAAAAACACCATGGCCTGGTTTCTCAGACCCGTATGAAGCCTAAAACTACACTAAAAAGAATTTACAATGTCTACATTGAAACTGCAAGTTAGATCAAGATAAGGCTTTATCAATGTCTGGGAACCTGAAAACAAAAGTTGAATGAGATGAAAGAACCAGCAGAGGAACCACAATGGTGGATCAGTGGATAAAGAGGAGCTGGAGACAGTAAACAGAGGTCCTATGTTTTACATTAAAAAGTCACAGGCTTTTAGTGAAAAAAAAGCCTGTAGGTTTATAGGTCAATACCAAGACAATAGCAGCAATACTGACATATAATTCAAATTAATACACTTTGCTCATGTCTGAGCTCTATTTGGGGACTACTTTGCCTTACAATGCCATGCAGTTATGCCTCTGACGTAAGTGAATTTTCAAAATTTTGAATTTCACTTCACATCAAACCATTCAGGAGCGAGACTGAGAAACGCTGCTGTAAGGAACATACAGTTAAAATACAGTTGAACTACGGCTCCTACTCAGTTTAAGGTTGCTTTAAGGTTGCTTTAAGGTTGCTAAGGTTGTTTTGCACATCTGTCATACATTTCTAGACTTGGACATGATCAAGATCATACTTCTTTCACTCTATTTCTGAATAAAAGCCCAGAATAAAAACACAGGCCTCGTGTCTGCATTTCATCTAGTGCACTTCTTTTTTACTACAAACACTGTCAAAACAAAACATCAGCATGCGTAACATAAAAAGGCCAAAAAACGATGCATATAAAATATTTAAAACAATCTAATTTAAAACAAAGTAACTGTTTCATGCATTCATGTGCATCATGGCATGAAACTGTGCAACTACACAGTATACGATTTCATAAATTTTAAATCCAGTGAAATTAAATCCAGCATGACAGTTTAGCACCGTCATTACTACAAACAAATAACGTCGTGGAATGCAGGACTAATGATCACAGAATTATATGAATAATAATAAGGGAGTCCTCTTCTTAGATCTGCTTTCACATCAAATCTGTATAAAAACAACAGAAAGGAAAAAGCATTAACCTTTACATGTAGTTTCTTATGGGTAAAGCATATATATACACTGTTAATCATCAGTTTATTAGGTATGTCTACCTTGTCCTTACTCTCACTGGCCATTTCATCAGAAACACCTACAACCCTGTTTCAAAAAAAGTCAGGACACTGTGCAAAATGTAAATAAAAACAGAATGCAATGATGTGCAAATCATTTAAACCCTATATTTAATTGAAACTAGTGCAAAGACAACATATCAAATGTTGAAACTGAGAAATTGTATTGTTTTTTAAAAAAGTTGGATGGGGGCCTGTTTACCACTGTGTTTCATCACCTCTTCTTTTAACAACACTCTGTTAGCATTTGGGAACTGAGGAGACACTGCTGTAGCTTTGAAAGTGAAATGTTTTTCTGTTCTTGTTTGACATAGGATTTCAGCCGCTCATCAGTTCAGGGTCTCCTTTCTCATATTTTTCAATTCATAATGTGCCAAATGTTTTCAATAGGTGACAGGTCCGGACCGCAGCCAGCACCCGGACTCTTTTACTGCGTAGATTTATGAGGGTGGGAACAAACTGAGTATGAAATTTCGAAACTAAACCAATGCCTCCTGAAGGCGGGGCTGAAAGTAGGGGGCGATGGTGCACTCATCAGCATGTTCAACAGACAGCAAACCTGTTGTTAGTCCATGGATGTAACATAAGTTACAGTGGATATTTTAAAAGTATTTGAGGCTCTGGGCTCCCAAGTGGCACAGTCATAATATTTAAGAATAATTTAAAAATGATTTGTTTCAATAATAAGTGAAACAAACAACATTATCTGCCAATACAGAGACATCATCTGGAATAGTGTAACATTTAATTAATGAGTGGAGAGATTACCTTTTCCAGGAATTAATAAGAAAGGTAATTCAAATACATTTTTGGAGAAGTACTTAGTAACTTGTCATTAATTTTTTGAGTACTGACCTCAACAGTGGAGCTATCTATACTAAAGTTAACACTAGCATTATGTGATTTTTGCCTAATTGCCTTGTTCATACCAGTCTGTCTTTACGCAGTTATGTCAGCACGTAACGTAATAACATAGACCCCTCTATCATAACCATGACTACAGGTGTGCGGCTGCATTAAAATTACTAAAAAACAATCACTACAATCACAAATAACAGCTATTTTTAAAACAAATATGTTTCAGAATAGATTATTTAACATCATCAGGAACAGCACATCCAATGTGTATTTTCAGGGGGCCTTTGGCTCATGGGGGGCCCTAAGCGGCTGCCTACTTCTGCCTAGTGCAAAGACTGCTCCTGATCACAGGACCACCACAGACCAGACATTGTTTGGATGGGAGATCACTCTGAGCACACCAGTGAACAAACATGGTGGTGTGTGTGGTGCTGGTGCATGTGTATTAGACACAACAGTCTTTCTGGATTTTTTACACACATTTGCATCACTGTTAGGTTAAGTGGTCCACCATCCAAAAAAATCCCTTCAAGAATGGCTCTGTGGTGAGAAACTGGTCAGAAAGTGGCCAGTGAGCATAAAACATGGTGGAGTGTGTGATATCGACAGACTCACTTGTGCGTGTTGTTCAGCTGCTGCTTTCCCTGTAGAGAGGCTGAGCTGCTCTGTCTGATTTCCTCTTTACCAGGCTCTCGTCGTCAGAGTCGTTTTTTAACTCGTCACCCAGCTCTGATTCTACGTGAAAGAAATTAGCAGGAGACAACATGGGGCGATTAAAATGGCTCTCTAAAACAGTAAGCCCTAATTAACCGGTGTTGCCTGCCACTTGTTTTACCACTCCACAGTACTAATATGGAAAATACTCATGCGTCACTGGGGTGTCGGTAGTGTCTGGACTCACTGGAGTCAATGAGCAATTTAAACGCTCTAAGGGTTGGTTTCCCAGGGATTGTAGGGCATTCTGGTGATTTTTGTTTTGTATCTCTACATAATTAAATCAACACAGTGTAAACAAAGTCATTCAGAGAGGTTGAATGTGTAATGCTATGTTTTAAAGAAACTAAGTGACTCAGAATAATTCAGTGGTGATGATAGGAACCAGACATCTGAGGTGTTTAGTGCCTCTAAAAGCTACATCACGAAAAAGTTAGTACATGAAATTGTTACAGATATACTGTATAATGCCACACATTGTTGTACGGTAGAATTATGATACATTTTTGATCAAAACAGACAAAATAGTCCCCAAATAAAGTTTTTTTCCCAGTTTTACCACCATTTAACCGTTATAAGCATTAAATAAAAAACTACAAGGACACATATAGGTTAACTACATTAACTACATAACCACATACATGGGTTAAAGAAGCATCTAAAAACGTATTAGCATTTTATATAAACCTCAGCGTCTTGTGGTGTTTATCTTTTAATTTGATCTGTGTCTTTTTCTTATATAATTCTAAATTAATTCTTAGAATTTCTGTATAATTTTTGAATAAAAATTATTATTATTATTGTTGTTATTATTATTATTAAATATTGTAAACTGGTAGTTTTGGATAGTAAAAAAAGTCCATATTTGTGTTGTAGACATTGTGACCCTTGGTTGCTTTCAGCACCAAGTAAAGATTCTCCACAATGAACCATTTCAAACCACTCTGAATGACTCAACGACTGAACCATGTAGAATTTTTGAACTATTGGACTACATTTTCCTTTCAAAGGAAAATCTCCCTTTAGAATGCTGTGTAGTGCAGGACTAGGTCTAATCTTTGCTCAGGAAACACTGAAACGTTTGGATATGCCATCCTGTGAGCAGATCCACATTCCAACATACACTGTTGTGCACTCTGCACAAACTCAAACACTCTCTCTTGAACACATGTAATGTAAATACTGACTTCCTTGCTAACACCACCTCTTGCCCAGAACCTTAGAGCTAACTAAGTTCTTTAAAGAACCACCAAGTACTAAAAATAAAATTAACAGTTTTATATAGAAGAAAACATGAAGTGCTCCAATGACTCCAAATGACGACTGGACATTTCATATTCCAGCCAACACAGCAGTTTACCATACACTTGAATGTCACAGGAAGGAAAAACATTTTCTATCTTACAGCAGATAATTCAGGTAGATAACTGAACAACACACTTCCAGTCATGCCCGGTCTCTGACCCTACACAAATAAAAGAAAGCAGAAATCAAAAGTAAACAACCAAAATTAATTTTAATACCACTGGGTAGACTTTACTTCCGCCAAAATATAAAAACACCTAATTGTGTCTAAACAAGACTTAGGCTCTACTATTCAACTGTAGAATCCTCATAGACGAGTCTGGGGACAAACAGTGAAGTTATCTTGTGGCACTAATTTCTGCTCTTAGTCCTGGTCACATTTAAACCGATCCTTGTTAGATCCTTCCAGAACGTTCTATGCTCTCACCTTGCTTGGGTGTGTCACCATTGGTCCTTTTCCTGCACTTATTCCTCACCGGTGCTGCCTTCACTCGCCTCACCAGAGGTTCGTCGTCCGAGCTGGCACCTGTGGAAAACGTAACATGAAGGTTCACGTCTGAATTTGCTGCATTTCTTTAACAGAGCCTTTGCACAGCCAGTTAACCCTTAAACACTGAGAGAAAAATGTGGTCATTTCTGCCTTTTAATCTACTCTTCCCTGATTATCTTTTGATGTGTGCAGAAAATGATCTGCGAAGGCTGACATTGTCTTTGCCATTTCGAACAAGCAGACTTATTAACAGGAATACACAGTACTGTGCAAAGGTCATAGGCACCTAAGCATATTATTTAAACCATTTATTATGGCATTAAGTGTGTGTTATCTTGTAAAATCACAATGAATCATTATGAACAAATGAATAAATGCAAATAAACATGAACACAGTAAAAAGTAGTTCATATCTTGTAAGCTACTTCGAGGAACAAAGCTTGGTTTCACATGTCTCCTGGACACCCCCACCCATCACATGGATTGGCTAAACTCTCAGCAGGACATCTGATTTAATATAATAAAGCACTGCAGATGTTGGACAACAAGCAACAAATAATACTGGACCGCCATTAAGAGAGGTTTGGAAATGGTTAAATGAACACACTGACATACACGAATCACTATTGTATTATTAATGTATTAATATTAGTTGTGTTTTTCAGAGCAAATAAATGCTTATTTCTAAATCTAATTCTCTCAGGTGCCTTGAACTTTGCACTGTAGTAGTGAACTTTGCATTTTAGTAGCATTTTATCATTACTGTGATGAAAGAAATCTGACAAATTTGGACATGCATGCATATCAATTATCTCGGAGCAGATTTTAATACGTTAAATAGGACAAAGTCTCTTAATGAATTGCAAATGAGACCTTATGTAAGACAGAGTTAAGCACCCCAGAATCAAGAGCAAGCAGGGCAATTAAGCCTAATCTTCATCTATACTCTGAACTGTTAACAGGAACAATCCCTTTTTAGTTCAGGGTTTGGCTTCATCTATGTCTGTAAAACCAAGTGAATACTTCTGTGTATGAAGCACTTTCAGGAGATCCACATAAAAAGGCTCAGAACACCGCATAAAAGGGACAGTTTGACACTCCAGCAAAAAAATACAACCCCATTTCCAAAAAAGTTCGGACACTGTGCAGAATGTAAATAAAAATAGAATGCAATGATATACAAATCAAAGAAACCATATTTTTTGAAGGAAAATAGTACAAAGACAACATATAAAATGTTGAAACTGAGAAATTTTATTGTTTTTTTGAAAAAATGTATGCCCATTTTGAATTAGATGCCAATAACACGTTCCAAAAAAGTTGGTACGGGGGTAACAAAACGCTGGTAAAGTTGTAATGTAATGCTAAAGGAAATGTGGTGGTTAATTGGCAACAGGTCAGTAATGTGATTGAGTATAAAAAGAGCATCCCAGTTGTCTTCGTACTATTTTCAATGAAATATAGGGTTTAAATGATTTGCATATTATTGCATTTTGCACAGTATCCCAACTTTTTTGCAAAGGGGTTGTACTTTTTAGATACGAAACACCTCACCTGACTAACTAACTCATATATGTTTAGCAGACTGAAGATTCTCCACAAGGGGGTGCTATTTGCATTGAGTGGTTCACATCAGTGACACGATTCATCCTCATAACGGAGGCCTACTCCACTACGATAATGTTTTTTGATAAAGTGGAACAGGGCAGAAGTTGATTTCACGTGTTTTTGAGGATCAAACTGTTGTAAAATATTGCTTTAGTTCATCTAATCTATTCATTTTGATGTACATTATTTCAATCAAGTTTTAAATTTCTCGTTACCAAGTATTTTGTTAGGTTGAACCGATCATCCATTTTTACAGTGTAGATATTATTCTCAGCTTTTCTGACTTGCTTTTAACCATACACACATAGAGAACTCATCTTTGTATAAGCACCACTGTTTAAGTGCCACTTGTTCAAACAATTCCTTCATCATTTTATTTCAAACATCTCCGCAGCTGTGGGACAAGTTTTGCCTGAAGGAAGACTGGGGCAAAGTTGGTTTATGCCTTTCTCTGAGCTTGGAACAGTTTAAGAAATATGAAATAATATCTAGAATAATCAGTACTGTTTATTATTTGAGTTGTAGTAACCTTAGGACCCATGTATATCAAGGTGCGCTGCAGTCAGCTTCCCTTCTACATATTAATGCATTCATTAGATACACAAACCACAGTGTGATCTTAGATCACCACGGCTGATAATGAGGCAGTGCTTACCTCTTGTTCTGTCTCTCACAGGCTTACTCTGCTGTTTCTGTCGCTTCACTTTGTGACTCAGCTGCTCCTCGTCCAAGCTTTCAACATCACTCTTTGCGCCTGCAACAGAGGACGTGGAGACACATGAGACTACTAACAGTGTGACTACTCTACAATAACAGTCCAACCAGGAGGAAACAGCCATTACTTGTCCACTGCATGCAGTTTCAGGGAACAATTATCTATTTCCCTGAATTTTACAAAACAACTATCTGATTTTTTGTAGAAGGGTCTGGCTGCAGACATGCACTCTCAGCCTGTCATGCACCGCCAGCCTATTAATGACGTCAGTGCACGCTCTGCCACAACAGTGTTTTTGTTGGTTTTATGAGGTAGAACAGTGAACCACATACTGATAGGAAACAAGAGTTACACTGAACATATACAGGGTGATTCAAAAAGATTCATCCAGTTTCAAAGCACCATATTTAACAACTGTGAGGCGCCTAGGAACCAATCACATACCAACTGAAAGAGGGGTTCATAGAGTTTCTGACTGTCACCGGAAGATGGCTCCCTTCAGTCTGCGAGGAGATGTGACCCCTGAGCAGAAATCGTTCTGCGTTCTCCTCTTCAATAAGAGTGAATCCATCATAAATCTGTGCAACGTGATTTTCGTCATCAGTGAACCTCCAACAGCTCAGAGCGTTCGTTGCTTGTTCCACAACACTGGATGATCTCAGAAATCACACTGAAAGAGCCGTGAGTACAGCGACACCCGACATGCTCAATCGACTTTGGCATGAATTTGACTACGGCGTTGATGTTGTCTGTACAGCTGGAGGAGGATCATATTGAGCACTTGTAGAATTACATAATAAACTTTATGCTCACTTAAACCATTTCCAGTTTACTGCATTGTTCTGTAATGATTTACAAGTGAAATAAATCATTTTGAAATCAGATGAATCCTTTTCAATCACCCTGTATTAACGTTGTCATACTGATAATAAGGTAATTAAATATGGAAACTTTTAAAATAAAACCTATCATGACGATAAAACATGAATGTCGGGTTTATTCGCAGAAAATAAAAACAGGCTACTGCTGAACCTCATGAAAGCTATGCTGAAGACGCTAGGATTTTCTTCACAGTTGCACTGATAGGAACCAGAAATCGTGATGTCTACAACACAAACTCTAACATTTAATTAGTATCCAAAATGATAAGTGAACCTGCTGTGTCTTCTGAGTTTTTATAAATGGAATAGAAAAATAGTGATTAACCTGACAAAATATGGTTTTTAGGTACTATTTTGCATTAATTCTTTACCATTTTCTGTCAGGTAGCTTTTGAAGTTATGAAATGGTTCAGGCGTCTGGTTCCTATCACCACCACTGTGAACAATTCTGACTCGGTAAGTTTCTATAGAATGGGGCATTTCACACCAAACCACTCTGAATGACTTTGTTTACATGTTAGTAATTTAATTATGCAGAAATCTTGCAAAGTCAGTGGAATTCCCCTTTAAACAGCCCAAATCCTTCACACCTTCTAAGCCACTTATCCTTCTGGGTTGCGGGGGGAGCTGGAGCCTGTCCCAGCAGTTGGCCCATATCCTACATTTCAGTATTTTATTTATTAAACTCTTATTAAGTTTATGTGGTTTTATGATTCATTTGTACACGACACTCCTCCAACCTCACTTTATCCCTCAGAGTTAAAAAGGCAGTTTTTGTCACTGTGCCTTTGATGTTTCAATTGGCTTCCCGGTTTTGTGCCTCATTCAAAAAGGAACTGGGCTGAAACACTCCTTATAACCTCAACATGAATGGGTGGAGCTAAACAGCTGTAAGTGGAATTGGTAGATATGTGTGTGATATATGTGTTGGTTTTCATTACATCACAGAAACATTAAATTTACACGGATTGATTTTGTAGCTTAGTTTCCATATATGGACTGTGGGACTGGGAGGTGAAGGGTATGATTTAAAACTTTCATGATGTTTACATATGACAGCAAACGCTTATTTCAAAATGGCGAGGGCAATCCAGTTTTCTATTGTCTCAATGAACACACTGGAGATGCTGTGGTTATTACCTGCCCTTGCTTTGCTGCTCTGCTCTCGGCTGCGTGTGTCCCCCTGCGTAATCGCGTCAATAACATCGCTTTTAGACATTCGCCTCAGCAGCACCACTGCCTCCTTCATCTGTGGTTGCCTCTTCTTCTTCACCAGCCGGACCAAAGGCTCATCATCACCAGAGCCATCACCAGAGGGCGCTGTGAGAAAGTGAGAGAGAATGTGCAGAATATACAGTTTACACCTTTAGATTGCGTATGCAGAATATTCACATAATCAGCACCACAACAAAAAAAATTGTTCTTCCTTGATTAAATCAAATCGCACTACAGGATAAAGCAAGTACAGGCTCTGCTGACTATCAAAGGGGTCATGTACCTTTTCTCTCTGTGTCTTCTTTCTTAGGGCGCCCTCTCTTTTTAGGTGCCATGACCTCAGGTGTGGATTGTTCTGAAGCCATTCTCTTCCTTTCCTGCTTACCTACAACAAAACAATACTGTTCATATTAAGGATGCATGATTAGTATCAGCCAAGATCAGAATCAGCAGATGTTTCTGCTCCAAACATGCGTTCTGCAATTGACCAATTTACTATTTCAGTTTTGGTCGCTCTGTGTTGCAGTTTTATGACGTAAATAAGGCAGAAAAGTGCACCTGCGTTGCACCTGAAAGCTGCTGCGACACATATGCCAAAAAGTCAAGGCATAGTTTTACATGACTCATTGTACTGAATAGCCAGTTGCCTCTCACTTTCGACTAAGCATTTTTTTAATCACATTTAAATAAGCAACTGATTTTTAATTTAAGAATGTAACATGTCTGTCTGGCTCATAAAAGAGCAAATAATGTTATTTCTAGTGTGACTTTGGCTAATAAAATAAGAATTGGAAATGTGCTAGTGTGTTTCATGTGTTCAATTAGCCACCATGCCATGAGCTTCAGGTAAAAAATGTCCAATTAAAAAATTGTCCAATCTTGCCATGAATAAACTGGAGTCTGACATAAAAGTGTATGATCAGTGCATCTGTGTACAGTGTTTATAATTGGCCAGTTTACGAAAACTACACTCACATTTCCAAAATTAATATACTGAATGTTTGTGAGTGGGGCTGGGTCCCAAAATATATTTATGGTACCAAAGGGATTACTTTAATGCTACAGAGTATCAAATAATTCTGTCTCATTCAACACAAAATTTCACTACTTAAGTTACTGATCTTAGCACAGTAGAGAGCCAGTAGAGATGCTTGTTCCAAAATCTAGACTGCTGATTGGTTGACTAAATTATATTACAAATGCATGTTATTAACCCTCAGTGCTTCTTGATTAATCTGTCCAGTCACCCACTTTGGGCACCTCACATTTATTTCTGGTTTAAGCCACACGTTCTTTTGATTTGAAATATATAAAAGAAGACATCAAAAACAAATATTTGTTATCAATATCAGTAAATATTAACAATACTCAGCCCTATTTATGTGAAATTAGGTCTGATCAATTTTACAATAAAAAAAAAATCTCCTGTGTTACTGAAAAGCTGAGCTTTTCTGATGTTGCTGTTGATTTTATGATAAATGAGAAGAAGTCAGATTACATGAATTTCATGAAGTTCAAGTTCAAAAATACACTGCATGTCCTAAAGTCTGTAGACACCTGCTCATCCAGCGTTTTTCTGAAATCTGGGTATTAACAGGGAGTTTGTCCACCTTATGCTGCAATAACAGCCTCGACTCTTCTGGGAAAGCTTTACACTAGATGTTAGAACATTGCTGTGAGGATTTGACTTCATTCAGCTACAACAGCATTGGTGAGGTCAGGTGCTGATGTTGCATGATCAGTTCTTGGTCACTCCAACTCATCCCAAAGTTATGGGATGGAGCTTCATCACTCTGGGGAACAAAGTTCCACTGCACTGTAGCCTAATGCTGGGGGGCTTTTATACCCCTGTAGCTGATGCTTGCCATTGGTCATGTTGAGTCTAGGCTAATGTGTGGCTGCTCCAGTGTATTAGTCAGTGCTTTTCTATTAAACAAGTTGTATGTGTATGTCTGAACACTGGTGACAGCCATGCATGCACATCATAGAAGCTGAATTCACCAATTAGAAGGGGGATCTGAATATTCCTGGACATACAGTGTAGTTGCTCCACCTTCCTTACCCTTTCTTCCTCTTTTCTGGGGGGTCTTCACTGGTGATGGTGATGCCTGCCTCAGCTTAGAGGCCTTCTCTTCTATTTTATGCCTTTCGGGATTTCTGGTCTTGTTGGCATCACCCTGTTCTACAGGAGTGAAAGAGTGATGTGATTATGTCACATGTTGATCTTATCACACCAAAAAATTCTGAATTGATAACCAAACCGAAGACAGCAAAATGAAACACTCTTTTTGTATCAGCAAGATAAAAAGTGCACAATAACTTACCAAGCATTTCAGTCTCCTCTCTGACCGGCCTCTTCTTCCTCTTTTTCATCATCGCTGTTAGTGGCTGATCGTCCTCTGAATCTGAGGGCTTAACTGCAGCTGGTATGAAAATGTCTGTGAGATCATTCACCTCTAATGCAATAAGTACTTTCCTAATGTCTAGGAGTGTAACAGTACAACATATCATACTATATTGGTCAATACAAGTCTCCCAGTTTAATACTGATTATAATGCATGAAGTATAATCAAACATATACAAGCAAGCCCAACAGACCTTCCTTCCTCTGAAAATATCACTTTCTCTTTACTTCGAAAACAAGAGCAGGGAGGAAAAGCGCACTCCTCAAAAGGGTATATTACTTCGATGCTAACATATCAGCTTCTGGCTAGTGCATTATTCTAAAACAGTACTATAATGTATTATGTACTATAATGCTGAATGCTTAAATAAACTGAAAACAGAATTACTGCACATTTTCAGGCACCTTTTATTTCTACTGTAATAAAAACTTAGTGAATCCATATCATTGTATTCTATCAAGCTGAACTATGAATTTGTGAATCGTTACACCCCGACTAATGTGTCCCACAACACAAGCACAGGCATGTAAGGGGCACATTTTCAATGCCAGATGTACAAAGACAATGAGAGTAAGTAGGAACGGCTGCTGCCACTGATTATCTTTCAATCCAATCAATTCAATACAGTAATTTTAAAAAGGGTAACGCCTTGATACCAATACTAGTCCTTTTAAATGTCTTCTTGTGCAGAGAAAATCTCTGTGATGTACACAGTAAAAAACTGGAAAATACAGACCACTAAAAATACATTTTAAAATCTTTATGTCAGTCTAAATTGAGCTGCGTAATGTAAGTGTATATGTGCCTGAAATTGTGTTCTTAAAAAATAATAAATGTTTCAAAAAACATTATGAGTATATTCTATCTTACATTTTTTTTATATTTTCAGAATGAAATAAACATTTAATATCATTAGACATTAAACAATTAGATTAAAATGAGTGGTTAAAGAAACACTTGGTATGACTATTTTAACGTAAGGATCAATGCCCAAAAGGAAAAAAAAGAATTGGAAAAATCAATAATAAAAGGGAACACCACTGATTTCTCAAACGTTATGCATAATTCCATTGCTGAAGATGTAAACAAAGTCATTTAGTTTAATGTGAAATGGTTCACTGAAGAGAAACCTAGGAATGGTGATAGGAACTAGGGTGATGTCTACAGTGCAAATATAGACATCTCATTTACTATGCAAAATAACTAGTGAGCCTACAAGAGTCGTACAAATTATTATATGTAAAGTTGATGATAATACAATAAAAAATAAGTGAAAAAATCAGTTTTCTTGGGGACTCTTTTGCGGATATCTCTCCACCATGAAGTGAGGGGATATAAAAATATGTTTAGACCAAAACTTGATCTCAAAACTATTGTAAAACAATGTCTCAAACATAAGGCAGTGTATTCATAACCATTTCATGTAATAACTTTTTTTGATATCTCCAGTTAGATGCATTAAACTCAGAAGTCTGGTTCCTATGACCACCACTGTGAACAATACTCTATAACAGCACACTACACTTTAGACTCTTAGTGATTTAATTTGCAGACATTGTAAAACATTCTCCTTTTAACCCAACATTCAAAGCTTTGTCTCAGTGGACCGTCCACTCTTATGTCTACTGCTACAAATGATTTAGCCACCGTAACTAATTCACAGGAGAGGACTTTATTAGACTAACTGAAATAATAACTATGGCTCTTTATTCTGTCTACTATTGTGTTAAATTCTAATAACTTATAATATTAATTTAGTATAAGTTATTAGACACTCAAGATAAAACAGTAATGGAACTCAAAATAATAAATGTAAGCAAAAAAGTACAGAGACAATGAAAAGATAAATAAGATGTGGTGGATGCCATTTAATAACAAACAAAAACAAGACTGAAAACACTTAATGTTCGAAATGACCCTCACCACTCTCCTGATGTCCATCTGAGCTTGCAGGTGATGAGCTTTTGGACTTGGTCATTTTGCTTAGAGGCTCATCATCTGAGCTGCGTCCAGGTGACTCTAAAAAATAATTGAAGACTATGAGATTAAAAAACCACCTCAAGTTTATTCATTTCAAACAAAAAATGTAAAAACTCTTAGTATCAAAATATGCATAAAACAAATAGCACCAGCTCTGGAGACTATGTCTGTTTTCATTAAATTTCTGAAAAAAATACAGGGTGATTTAAAAAGATTCATCCACTTTCAAAATGATTTATTTCACTTGTAAATCATTACAGAACAATGCAGTAAACTGTAAATGTTTTACATGAGCATAAAGTTTATTATGTAATCTTACAAGTGCTCAATATGATCCTCCTCCAGCTGTACAGACAACATCAACGCTATAGTCAAATTCATCCCACACTCGATTGAGCATGTCGGGTGTCGCTGTACTCACAGCTCTTTCAGTGAGATTTCTGAGATCATCCAGCGTTGTTGGGAGTGGCACATAAACAGAATCCTTAACGTACCCCACAAAAAAAAGTCACACGGCGTGAGATCTGGTGATACTGGTGACCTTTTTCTTGGAACTGTCGGTACCATTGACGAATGCTCTGAGCTGTTGAAGGTTCACCGATATACTGACAGTCAGAAACTCTATGACCCCCTCTTTCAATTGGTATGTGATTGCTTCTTAGGCGCCTCACGGTGGGAAAAATATGGCGCTTTGAAATCAGATGAATCTTTTTGTATCACCCTGTAGTGGCTTTGCCCAAATTCAAAGACAAAATACTCAATGACATTAAAAGGTTTGGGATTTTAAAACTAGTACAGTCACAATCATTAAACTTTAGCTTAACAATTTAATTGTCTTTTCTTGTTCATTGTTTTAAAATAGAAGCCAAAAGTTATAAAATTGGTTGTTTAGCCTTCCTACTTGCTAGCTATGTTTACTTATTAGAGAACACTCTTTGTACTGCCGAATCAATAATGACACACTCATACAAATGCCTACAGTTATACGAAATAGAGTTAATCAAAGCTACACGTTCTTGACTACAGTGAAAATATAAGCCACAAAACGCTCTGCCAGCACACACGCTAAAAACATTCGATTAGAGCCACTTAGGTCAGCCAACAAATAACCTAACATTACTCAGCGCTGCCCCCTAAGCATGTTAGAGCACCAAGTTAGGAGAACTTTTTTTTTGTTTTCTTAAGCCCCATAATGTCTCAATACATGATTTTACAGCTTTCCTTTATTTACATTTATTCACCTCAACCCAACACGCCCAACTCACTGTTTGTTGCAGCATAATATGACTGTGGAAAACGACTGCAGTCGGCTGTAATAATTGCAATAATCTTAATTAACTGCAATTAGACAATTATGATCAGACTGTGATCAGACTTTAAAAAACAGACACAAAAAACTATTTTACAAGACGATCAGCTGTCACCTGTATCAGTAACTAATAAACATGGTAGGTCATGCATGTTATCAGTCTGCAGATCCAATAAACGAAACACCAGCACTAGAAATCTTCTCAGAAAATGACACTCCTCACTTCTGGGTTATTCAGTTAATTATTCAGATAATTACTATTTACTGAGAAATGCTGCTTTGTGAAACATTCCCTGAAGATCCTATATAACCCCTATTTTCTCTTACGTGTCTCATTTGAGCATTTAGTCCTCTCAGGAGCCTTTTTACTCTTCATCAGTGCACTCAGAGGCTCATCATCATCCGAGCTGTCCTCAACCGTCTCTAGGAAAGGTTAATACAACACACAGAACGGACGATTAATACAGCACAGAGGACGAATTCTCCAGTAAATGTTCTCGTGGGTTAATAATGCCTGGAAGTTTGCGGGAACACGTTCTGAGAGTGTGATGTCTTCTGCATTATACTGTAGATAAATGACATCTGCTGGCTTCTGTTCATTATTAGTGAGATCAGCATGGAAGGTCAAGGTTTCCTTTAAAATAATCAGAATCGTATCGGTATCGGCTGATAATTGCTTTAAAAATGAGCGGTATCGGGTTAGAACCATGTTTCAAAAGAGACATATTTACTGTACTCTGGAAAAACAGAATGTTTAAGGGACGCTGGGTTCCTTGTTATATTTCTCTGTTTGGCTGTTTAGACAGATACAGTCCCGATTTCTACATTATGCAAGTGTTTATGTATCAGTATTAAAAGATATATATATATACATTAAAATACTGGATATCTGCAAATTCCTACCTTTCATGGTTCTTCGAGGGTTCTTTAGTAAACAAAATGGTTCTGTATAGAACCATGAACACTCAAAAAACTCTTTGCATGGTTAAAAGTTTCTTTGCATCACGAAAGAGTTCTTCAGATTGATGGAGAATGTACTGTACATGGTTCTTTATAGTACCAAAAAGGGTTCTGCATTTGTTACAAGCTTAACATCGTAACATTACCAGAACCCTTTTTGGTGCTACATAGAATCCTTTTCAAAGATGTTCAACATAGAACTATATACAGCACATTCTCCATCAATCTGAAGAATCTTTTCATGATGCAAAGAACCCTTTAATCATGCACAGTGCTCTTCAAGTTCATATACAGAACCTCTTTCTTTACTACAGAACCTTTGAAAGAACTTTTTTTTAAAGAGTGTAGGTATGAGGTATGAGGCGAGGCATCTCTTTAAGCCACAGACTTATAAGAGTTCTTTAGTATAGGGAATGGAAAGTATGGGGTATGGATCCATTTCATGCTTAAATGGTTCTTTGCATGGTGAAATTGTTCCACAGATTGATGGAGAATGTATGGTTCTATATAAAACCTTTTTAAAAGTGTTCTTTTATTGTTACAAGCTTGACACTACAAGAACTGCACAACCCTTTTTGGTGCTATCTAGAACCACTGTCAGAAAGGTTCTATATACAACTATAGACAACACATTCACTAACAATCAGAAAAATGAATAAACAAACATTCAAAGAACCAAATGATTCTGCGTAGAACTCATGGTTCTTTAAGGAATCACTGCCTTTCCTAGTGAACCCTTTAAGAACCATCCTTTTGTCAGTGTGTAGAGGAACTAGCATGTCTTTAAGCCACAAACTTATAAAGATTCTTAAAGGGTTCTTTAGTATAGGAAATGGAACATATATGATATAGAACCATTTCATGCTTAAAAGGCTCTTTGCATGTTGAAATGGTTCCACAGATTGATGGAGAATGTGTCATCTACGGTTCTACATAAAACTTTTTTAAAAGGGTTCTCTTATTGTTACAAGCTTGACAGTGTAAGAACTGCACAATCCTTTTTTAGTGATATCTAGAACCATTCTCAAAAAGGTTCCATATACAACCATAGACAACACATTCACTAACAATCTGAAAAATGAATGAACAAGCATGCACAGAACCAAATGATTCTGCGTAGAACTCATGGTTCTATAAGGAACCACTGTCTTTACTAATGAACCCTTTAAGAACCATCCTTTTGTCAGTGTGTAGAGAAACTAGCATGTCTTCAAGCCACAAACTTATAAAGATTCTTAAAGGGTTCTTTAGTATAGGGAATAGAACGTATATGATATAGAACCATTTCACGCTTAAAAGGCTCTTTGTTACAAGCTTGACACTGTAAGTACTGCATGACCCTTTTGGTGCTATCTAGAACCACTGTCAGAAAGGTTCTATATACAACTATAGACAACACATTCACTAACAATCTGAAAAACGAATGAACAAACATGCAAAGAACCAAACGATTCTACATAGAACTCATGGTTCTATAAGGAACCACTGCCTTTACAAATGAACTGTTTAAGAACCATCCTTTTGTCAGTGTGTAGAGAAACTACTACAGGGAATAGAACATATATGATATACAACCATTTCATGCTTAAAAGGCTCTTTGCATGTTGAAACGGTTCCACAGATTGATGGAGAATGTGTCATCTACGGTTCTCCATAAAACTTTTTTAAAAGGGTTCTCTTATTGTTACAAGCTTGACACCATAAGAACTGCACAACCCTTTTTGGTGCTATCTAGAACCATTGTCAGAAAGGTTTTATATATAACCATGGACAACACATTCTCCATCAATCTGAAAAACAAATAAACAAGCATGCACAGAACTAAATGACTCTGCGTAGAACTCATGGTTCTATAAGGAACCACTGCTTTTGTCAGTGTGTGGAGAAACTAAGACACGATATGACGTAACAAATTAAAGGTGAAGTGCTCCTTTAATAGAGCAGCCATCCAAAATCAACTGGGTGTAAAACAGTGCAAAGCTAGAACATCTAAAGGCACATTTGAAACACACTACAGACAACACAGCCTCCAACTCAGCTTCACAGTGCAGAGCAAAGCTGAAACAGTCACAATAAAAGTTTGGAGTCCATTTACCACTCCTGGGTTGGATGCCAGTCATATTAGCTGCAGCTCTGGGACCTAAACCTGGGAAGATGTGGCCACCTGAACTGGATCCTTTGAAGATTATCTTGATTTTTTTTTTTAATTTTAATTTTAATTTTTTTTTAAGAAATGAGAATTAGCTTGACCACGGCAACCCAGGTCATCTGTCTGTCCTGCACTAAAAAACAAAACGCGCCACAATTTCAAAACAAATGCAGCTGTAAGTTAACGGTTAGCTAACGTTACCACTGCCGAGGAAACCCTACAGCCTGACCTCGCGGCTGCTCCGGAAAGCGGATCTCTAGATGTGGTTTCTTTAAAATGAGAGCTTGTCGCAGTGTTTGTGCCTCTCTGTGTGCAGAGACACCTTCTCCAAACCGGCCTGGTGCAGCTGGAGCTTAGCAGCCTGCTAGTCTGTTCCCGGCTGACGATGAAGCAGCTTCTTGTTCGAATTTCCCCGTTCCACCTTAAATGGTGCAGCAGTTCAATGCAGCGCCCGAGGCGACAGAATGGAACTGCTGCACCATTTAAGGTGGAACGGGGAAATTCGAAAAAGAAGGCGACTTCAGGGATTTTCTGTTTATATGTCCGTATATTTTTTCAGCATACACTTTTTAACTCACAACGAGCTCTCTGGTTGTAAATATTCACAGTGTGGGCCTCCTAAAACAGGCGTACATGTCCACACAGTGGCGCCACATAATCTCAGCACTGTGTGTTTTGGTGCGCGTTCAATTCCGCAATATCTGCGCAGCATTATTTTTCTTTAACATGACATTAGAGCTGGGCAATGACAGTATTAACCGTTATTGTGATCATTTGCACTACGATATTCCTTTTTCTGAGCATATTGTGGATATTTTCAGCACTTTTGAACTACTTTTTTAATTAATAAGGGTATAATTAGCCCTGTTTGACTGGATTTAGTGCAGCACAGTGTGTGAAATGTTGAATACATGTAATTGGATTCATAGATTTTGATAATAATTACAAAATGTGGCACTTCTTTGTCTGTTCTAATTCACCAGATGTCAGAAAGAATAAATATTTTGACATATATTGTATCGAAAAAAATAATCTTGAAGTATCGCAATATTACAGTTCACGATATCACCCAGCTCTGAGACTAATGGTATAAAACTGAAACCAAGCAACATTAACTATGCAGAGCAAGAGGAAAAAAAATAAATAAAAGCCTGTCATTTTAAGGTATAGGATTTTGTTTACAATACAAATAATAATAATAATTATTATTATTATTATTATTATTATTGTAATCGTCAATAAGAACAAACACAAGTGTTTTTGTTCAGATAATTTATGTTGGAAAAAAGTAAAGATTCAATGTAAGACAAATACCTGTATAATTTACAGTTTGCATATATTACAATTTTTGATCCATAAAGAAAAGACATCAGATCATAATTAGAGCAAGTACAGTAAATCATTGAATTCAATATTTTCTTGTCCTCTTGCACTCTGTGTACAGAAAGTTTCTTATGTCTATTAGCCCAAACTCTTCACCCAACATTACAACAGTGCTTTGTCACGATCATGATAAACGTTAACTCAATAAATCAATGCAGAGTTCTACTTTTATAATCTACAGTGTAGATTTAAGTTATACAAATCATTGGGGTGAAAAAAAAACAGTGACTTCCACTGGAACATCAGTATATTTAACAGTCACACAAATTTTTTGAACACCCTTTTTTTTTTCCTCCCCAACTCAAGCACGTCTCGTCTCCTATAAAGGACAAAATTAACTTTTTCGGATTTTAGGGTACTAAGACAAACAAGAAAAAGTGTGAGGAGCAGTAAAACACCGACATATTTCACCAAATAAAGTATGAGCCATGATTACATGAGAAGAACCACCAGATAACAAAGCATCAAACAGCTTTGAGCCATAATCAGCACTTCACAAAACATCACTTCAACTTTGCCAGGTATGTAACACCGTGGGAAATCCATATGAAGTCCATTTTATCGGCCGCTGTTTCACTGCTGCACCAAAATAATTGGTGAGGTGTTATAATTCCTGATTGGAGCTCTGAAACACCTGCTCCAAAAGGTCATGGAAGCTCTGATTTAAGGTCCAGTCCGTCCGTCACCTGCCCGAAGCTTTACAGTGCTGCGATCTTACTCGCCTCTCGTACTCCGCTCAGATAAGCGCCTGTTACTGTCTGAGGAAAGTGCCGGTTCGTGGCCTGGAGAGCGAGAGATACAAGCAAAGAAGCACAGATTATATTAAAGGTAAATGCACCAAAACAGAACAAATACCTGTAAAGAAACTCTACCAATTTTTCTAAATTTCTGCACAACTCAATCGTTAAGATGAAACTGATTCCAAGTGGTTTGGTGTGTACTTGTATAGTCAGAATCTTTCACAGTGGAGATGATAGAAACCAGAAATCTGAAGAGTTTACTGCCTCTAAAAGCTGCTTCACAGGAAGCTATTACAGCAAACTTATGTACTATTGTTTATGATGTTTTTCATGTGTACAGAGATAAAATTTAGGCTTAAAATATTTTATTTAAATACTGTGACGGTAGAGAGGTACATGTAGGAGGAACTAGTGGCCAAGGAAAACTTACGTTTTCAGACTACCACTATTTTACCATCATCAACATTACATATAAAAACTCAGAAGTGTAGGTTCACTAGTCATATCTGGATAGTAAATAAAATGGCTTCCTGGTTTCTTATCACCACTGTAAAGAAATCTGAGTAGGTACGTTTCTCCACATGTAACTTTAGACTCCTCTGAATGACTTTGTTTACATCTCATCAATTAATTTTAAAAAGATAAAAATATAGAAAAAAAAGTTATCAGTGAAATCCCTCTTTAATAGTCACTAGGGCTACATCAGGGGTCGGCAACACGCGGCTCTGTTTCTGCTCTGTTGAAGCTCCACAGCAGAATTAGATTTTTAGTTAAAAATAAAATAATCCTCCTTTGCAGTAAAATAAAGCTCTGCTGATCTTTCAAGCGCAGTTTTAACAATAAATGGTTTTAAACGCTGGAGTTAATGTAGAACTGCTATTTCACCCTTAAACCCTGAAGATCACTGAGACTGCTACCATAGCAACACAGACAACAATCTCGCCTAGCTAGTACCTAACGAAAAGGCAAAGAGAATGATTTAAGACGAACATCGATGATTTGGGGACAAATTTACTTATTTGCATTTATAATCACGCCAGCTGGTTTCCTGATATGTTTAATCTGCAACAAGAAACTGTCAAACACTGAAAAGTCATGAAGCTGAAGTTGCCAGATTCACAAGATTCTAGTTCTTATTTTCCTGTTCCACCTCAAACGGTGCAGCAGTTACATTCAGGCACCATTTAAGGTGGAACAGAAAAATTCGATCGAGAAGCTAGAGAATGAGAAGCGACTTCAGTCTCGTAGAACATCGACTGTCGAGAGACATTTTACAAGAAGCCATTTTACTTTTGAGGGAAAGTTTCCTGCCGGAGATGCGAGAAAAGCAGCTATAGCTGAGCTAAAGCTTAAAGCAGAGCAAAGTGAGTCTGAGTTTTCGTTTATATTTTTAGCCTAAACTAGCACATCAGCACACACTAAGACATATTTACAGCCAAGTTGGGAAAACGTTACTTCAGTTAAATGGACATTATATGTTGTGGCTCCCAGGGTGGTTTGATTTTTGTTTAAAAAGGACACAATAAGTCTTCTTAACATTTGGGTGGCGACCCCTGGGCTATATAAAGAGATATACAGAGGAAGAACTTAAGCTGTAGACAAATACCAAATCACTTGAAGGAGGTAGGTTAGCATCATCTCACACAAGCTCCAAACTGATGTCAACCACTTCATTTGTTTGTAGTTTTTGCTTGTCTCTGGCAGTAACGAATTCATATTTACCCTTTAATGCAGGTCCTGAACTTTGCCATCTACTTTACGTAGTAGGGTCCAAATCTCTAACAGGCTTTGTCAAATCTAACCCCAGTGAAACTTGTGCTTGAATGTTCTGACAAATGCAATGACTGCCAAATGGCTTCACTGAGTTCAACAGGCTCACCTCGCCAGCAAAGAAAACTTTGCCTTGAACATCTTCGGCGATGATGTCATAGGCCTCTCCGCTGCCCCCTGTCTTCACAAAGCTGTAGGACATCTGAGACCACATGTCTTTACTCCAGTGTGTGATGAAGTACTTCAGCGGATCTGGAACCTCCTAGAACATTACAGAGGTTAAAGGTCTCAGTCTCTGATTCTCACATTGCTGCCCATTCTGACAGCCTCACAGTAACGAATCAATCATGCAGTTCTTTCTTCTTGATCATGTTAAAGGATCAAGTTATGGCTGAACTACTATACAAGAAAACAAAACCTATATTGTTTGGTCTATTCTAAATATTTTCTCCCAAAAATGTTGTTATTTTCTGACTTATATACATTTTTTATGTTTTTCTTTTTAGAAAGGAATTCAACCTATTCTTCTCTCTGTAATTTAGTCATTGAGATGTAAACAAAGTCATTTAGAATGGTGTGAAATGATGCATTGCACGAAATGTACTGAGTATTTTTTTTTATTATTTTTTTATATATTGGTGGTGATAGTAACCAGAGGTCTGCAATGTCAACAGGAGTGTTTCTCAAACCTGGTCCTGGAGGCCCACTGCCCAGCACATTTTTGTGCGTTTCTTGTCACATTAACTCAATTCTTAGCTGTTAATGAGCTGCTTAGTTGGATCAGGTGTGCTGGGAGCAGGGAAAACACTAAAAAGTGCAGAGTGGTGGATCTCCAGGACCAGGGTGGAGTAACACAAAAGCTCTACAGCACAAATGTAGCCTTTTTATTTACTTTCCAAAACAATCAGTGAACCTGTAACACCTGAGATTTCATATGTAATCTTGATGAAGGCAGAATAGTGGTAGACCTGAAAAAGAGTCATTTGGCAGACTTCACTGCACAGAAACGAACAAAAGCATTAGGGTCTAAGAGAAAGAGGCGAAAGTTAAAACATCTAACTTGTCGAGGGTCGTTCAGACTTAGAAGGTTTGGTTCAATTAAAACAAACCCTGGTGTGGTTGGTCTGTTAGTGCAAGTGAAAACTTGCCAAGTAAGTGGGCTGAGACCCCGAGAGCAGGTTGGTCTCGTTAATAAACACACACTGGTGCAGTTCGTTTGAAGTATGAACGCAATACAGATGAAATATTTCTAAATAGACCAAAGACAAGATGAATCGTCATCTTCTCTTTGCATAACTGCTATGGTTCGTGGAAAAGACGACTTTCTGATGCCACTTTGACACGTGCATGTCGTACCTTCATAAGCTTTGAATCAGTAACTATAGAGCAGATAGTTTCGGTTTTTAAACGAGGCTGAGGCATGTTTAAAGTCATTATAAACTACTCCATATACACATTTGACTGAACACACAAATTATATTATTAAGACGGTTTCTCTGTTTTGTAAAAGCAGTAAGCTACTCAAGGCTCAAGGGATTTCACATAGTGCAAAACCACAGTAATGCAGGGAGTTTCATAGCTTATTGCTCCAAAATCAAAGACAGATAAAAGAAGACACAAATAAAACTACCAAGCCCAGAGAGTACAGACAGCAGCATGATTCAGAAAGTTGGCTGGACATTATCACAGTTATTGTCCATCATAAAATCTGCCCAATCACTTGTGACCTTTTGTTTATATGACTTTTGGTTTTTGTGTTTGATCTTTTGGTTTGATGTTATATATTTCAGTGTGAACGCTGAACAAACCAGAACTAAGATACAAACCTCAAATATAAACGTTCACCCTGGTTCATTACTTGCGAAACGCACATGGCACTAGTGCACGTTAAGATCAGTGTACCTGTTCCTTGAAGAGTTCACGGAGGACGTTCATGCAGAGCTCAACCACCTCTTTCTCTTCCAGATCTCTGACCACGGCCACAGCTTCTCCGGTTATCACTGACATCAGCACGCACTGATCTCCCTGCAGGGACAGGTCACACACATAGAGCCACTGTACTGCTGAACAAATGCTTGATCAGAGTGAGTGTAAGTAATCACACATGCTACGTTATCTTAACTCACACAGTGGCACACAATACAGTGTAATGATCACTATATGCAAGATGTATGAAACTTGATTCTCTTCTGCTAAAGAAGCTGCCAATTTGGAGACACAGTGTTTTTTTGCAACACTTGGAATCACATGTAACCACATAGCTAAACCATGGACAATGACATGACAACATGCTTAACTATCCAGTGCTTATCTCAGTGGAGAGACATACTACAAATTAAAAATTGGGCAAATGAAAATAAATGGAAAGAATAAAGATGAGTTCTGAGTCTGACCTTCGGAGTCATGTCATAAAACACACTGAACAATCCTCTCTTGTCTGGGCTCGGGGCAACATGACCAAAATAATCAGCTCCCTTGACTTTACTGTCCCAGAATCTATAGGGGAACTGCAGTGCGATCTGAAACAGAAGACACCTTGTTAGACAGTGTCCACAGCATAGGCACTTACTATGAGGCCTACTGTGAGAACAAAACGCAACATCTTTCATGATGATTTAGTTATGGTGAAAAGGTCTCGACAAGGAAGACAGTAACATTAACTATTAGAACACGTGAGGATCTATAACGACATATTTAAAAATGGTCCATGTTCTGTGGTTTTCTTGTTTGTTTCTTTTTTCCCCTGAGATCTACTTTTGACATTTGTGAGGTTTATGTACCAAAAACAGTTGTAATTCATTGTTACTTGACTATTTTCCAACATCTCTTCATTCCTTAGAATTTACCTGTGTGATATACACTGATATATGTAAATGAACTCTGTCCTGATTGGCTGCCCTGTATTGTGCCTCATTCAAAAAGCAGTCCCTCATAAATTCTGTGTGAATGGGAGGGGCTAAACTGTTGGTGTCCCATCTGTCTGGCACCCACTGTCATGCCTTGTTCAAACTCTGATAATTTACATCGCTGGCAAGTGTTCAGCTGGCAAGTGTTCAGCCTCACTCACATATAACACCTCACAACTTATACAGGTGTGGGCGTTCTCAAGTTTTCCCCCAACGCCACTTAATCATCAGTTTACATAGTTCTATCCAATGACTTTGGGCAAGTTGGTGTATTTACAACTAGTTTTAAAATATGTTTAGTAAATATCAGACTCTCTTATTAAAAAAAGTTTTTCATGATATGGGTCCTTTAATAAAAACACGGGTCCTTCTGATGAGAAAAGGGACTGCTTTTGCTGTAGTTGTAGCCCAGTTCTTTGGCTATGGAAAACATATCTTATACCTTTTTAATATTGCTCAAAGGCAACCCTTTTTTTAAATATAAAGGGAGAATTACATCTTCGGCATGTTCCGGGGCTTTAGACCATTTTTGTATTAAGTCTTGGACAACTTTATACTGTTAAGAAATAGTCTACTTAAAGTCCATGTTAGAATAAGCTCAGATACAAGTTGCCCCATTGTATCAGTCCTTACCTTCTCTATGATGCCTGCTCCCAAGCTGTGAATGGCTTTGAGCTTCCTGTCTGGGAGAGGAGGGCTGAACTGGATAACGTTCTTCTGGAGAAGAGCTAAAGGAACCGTCACTAAGACCTAAGAAAGAAGTCGACACTTCTCAATGCAAAGAGATACATGTGGGTAAAGCTACTAATTTATATGAAGCAGTGTCCTGTACCTTCTGAGCAGTATACTGGGTTCCACTTGAGGTGGTGACTTTCACAACATCTCCTGAGTAATCAATGGACTTCACCTATATAAAGATGCCTCATTTAGTTATTTAGGAGAGGATGCCAAAAATAACACCACCACAATTCATGACCAATAAGACACCAACTTAAACTCAACTTCAAACTGAACTCTGAGTCTCTGTTCACTAATAAGCACATGAAACCTACCGGCCTCTTGAGGTGGATATTGAGGTCTTGGGCCAGTTTGTGCAGCAGAGTGGAGTAGCCCTCGGTCAGAAGGGTGTGGTCTCCAGAGAACTGTGCAAAGAACTCGTTATGATCCCACGATCGTGCCGACACCTCCAAAACAGACAGGCAGAAAATGTAAAGGAATGTAAAGGAATATTTAATAGATTGATATACGTTTAAAAGGCAGTGTTTAAGAGACTGCTATACAGCCATGCTTTACAAACATCCAAGAGGGAAAGTCTACATTTATTTCTAAAATTCTGCACAATAAAACCATCTAGATGTAAAAGTCAGTCAGAACGGTCTGATGTGAAGCAAAAATTGGATTCTTCCGGAGAGTTGTACCAAGTCCAGATCATTCACAGTGGTGGTGATAGGAACCAGATGTCGGTGGAGTTTAATGCCTCTAAAAGCTCCTTCACAGAAAGTTACTTGATGAATTGTTTACAAATACACTGCTTGATGTCAGCGACATTGTTTTACAATAGTTTTCGTTAAAGTCTTCACCTAAATGTATTATGTTTTACAGAGAGGCAAAATAGTCCACACCAATTTATTACTGTCAATATCCGCAAAGGCCCAGTGAATCAAATCATGGTGGAGAGTTAAATGCAGAGTGTTGTAAGGCAAAACAGTACCTTAAAGGAAAAAAGTTATTTAATCAGACTTACCACAAATGTACCCTTATCAACATTACATAAGAAAACTCAGATACGTGGTGGTTTTGGATAGTAATTGAAATGTCTATTTGTGTTAGACATCGTGACCCCTGGTTCTCATTACTGCCATCATAAAGAAATCAGAGTTGGTAAGTTTCTCTGCAATGCACCATTTCGCATTACTGAACCACTTTGTTTACATTTCAATGACTGAATTATGCAAATTTTACAGAAGAAACATCTGTGGGATCCTTTTTACACTGCTGCTGCTGTGGGGGCAGTCATGGACTGTAGGTTAGGGAACAAGCCCTGTGACCAGAAGGTTGCCGGTTCGATCCCCTGAGCTGACAGTATATGACTGAAGTGCCCTTGAGCAAGGCACCCTGGGCACGCTGTGGATAGGGCTGGCCACCGCTCCGGGCAAGTGTGCTTACTGCCCCCTAGTGTGTGTGTTCACTAGTGTGTATGTGGTGTTTCACTGCACGGATGGGTTAAATGCGGAAGTGAAATTTCCCCGTTGTGGGACTAATAAGGGTCACTTAAATAAAAGGAGATTTCTCTTGTCTTACACACACCTGGTCCAGGGTGCTGGCGCAGGCGTACTCCAGATTGCTGAGATGGAACTGAAGTACTTTCTCCTCCAGCTCGCTGAACTGAATGCCTGATTCCTGCAGAAACGTCTTATACAATTCCTGAATCTTTTCTGAATGAGAGTGAAAAAAGAATGAGCAGAAAACTGGAGACTAGAATGTTTTTTTTAGAAACTGAAAAAGAATAGAAACTATTTTATATTCAGTCAAGATAGAAAAAAAAACACAGTGGTAGAAAATACACAATAGAACTGAAACATTTTCAAAACAAAATCAGTATAGTTTTAATGTGACTGTCTAATACAGTGTCATAAACAGTGATTCAGAAGGGGTTTGTCACAATGCAAGACTTTCCACTTAGCTGGACACCTTCAGTAAGTAAGATATAGTTCAGTTATGGCTGCTATTTAACAGGTGAAAGAGGTAACTTTTGGTGCTTTTCCTCATTTATGGTGCTGGAAGTGACTTGAATATAATCGCAGTTGCATTTCGTACTTTGTGTGCACTTCTTACGTCTTTGTAACAATCCTGGCAAAAGCCTTCTGTGTATGAAAGGTGCAGTACAAATAACCTTGCCTTGACCTTAACCCAAAAAAAAAAAAAATCAAGACTGTCCAATACGAATGATCTTCACTTCTAACCGATTCCTGAATTATGGCCCAAATTATCTCACCAAATCTGACATATCCCTCCTTAAGATGTGCATTTACTTTGTGCCTACGGATTGCTTTGCTCTTTTTTAAAACGCACAGTACCCCCAAGTGGAGCGTCATGGTGCTGCGTCTTGTCCTTCCTCCACTCAGAGACGACATCTAAAATGGCGTTGAAGTGGAAGTCCATTCGCTTATCTATGGCAGGGTCAGTGATTTGGCCACCCTCCTGGATCAGGTCACACCGTTCACGCAGCTTATGCATCCTCACACCCAGCTAAACACAACAGCAAAGTCAAATGCAGGGTAGGTATGTCATGAGGGAGTGCATGTGCTAGTAACAGTAGTTATGAGAGCATGCAGACTGCATCATCATCATAAATTACGGAAAAATCTTCACTCGATGCATAATTTGTCTTAAAAACAAAAGCAAAAGTGTTTTTACTAAGTTTATGAAATTGGTAGTGGTGTAATAAGAGGCCAACTCATAACCTGAATGTGTGCTGCATTAGACATGTTTTACTATTTTTATCTATTTTGGTTTATTTACGACTGGCATAGCTATAGGACTGGTTTAAGTGATGGATGAATAGAGTGTTAAACAGATGTTTACTGTCAATATTTGGTGTCTCATGCTGTTAAACGTCTTTGAATGAGGGTGGCAAGATGACAGGTAAAGGCAAAATGCATAATGGTCCTAAACTGATTCGTCAAATAATAGTCAACAAAATAAATTACAGAAACGTTTGTTAACTGCACTCCCAGAGTTGATTACATAACAATCCTTAGTCGCAACAACAGTGTACAGACATTGAACACTTACACATTTACTTACAGTACTGTGCAAAAGCCAGAGACCACCTTTTATTTATTAAATTTCCAGTCAAACCAGCCATAGCAGTCAAAGACATGGTACACCCCCAAAACTGTCCCCATGAGTCGGAAAAGGATGTGCAGCTGTTAAGAAGCTCTGACTGAGAAAAGGAGATACATCAAAACAAGGAAGCTGTTGGTGTTCTCAGAACAATGGACTGACCACCCCAGAGTCCAGACCATAACATCACTGAATGTGTTTGGGATCAATGACTGTGAGAAGCAGCAAATGCAACCAGCTTTTACTGAACTTTGGAGGTGTGGAAAAGTATCCCTGCAGATTTCTTTGAAAACTGAAAGCAAGACTGGACACTCAGAATACTGAAAAACGTTACACTACATTTAGTTGTTGAGGTTCTGTATAATATTCTGTTAAACATGTTTTCTACTTTTTTCTGACACTGAAAAACAATAAACTTGGACTAAATAAGTTTATTGAATAAACGGCCATTTTCACTGGAAATTAAATAAATGACATTTGCACAGAGTGTCTTTTGGTAGCATTTGTGAGCCTATTATTGGTTCATCAAAGTGTGCGTCTCTCTTACCTGTTCACACATTAGAGCGATGGGATTATTGACACAGCCGTTAACGATCTGAGCTCCTCGCCCCACAGTGACGCCCAGCGAAGTGTCATCCCAAACTCGCCCTCCTATTCGCTCCCTCGCCTCCAACACCACAACCTAAGATCCAATCACAACAGCTCAAATGGGAGAGGATTTCATCATCAGTTAGGTTGTTTTATATCTACAAAGTTGTATTTACACAGATCAGAAAGACATATAATCAATCATTCAATCAAGAATACGATCAAAAGATGTGTCAGTTCCACTACTGGTCCAGTGTGAAACCAGCCTCATCTTCAACAGCCTCCAAGAATATGAATGTACATTTCCAGAACGTTCTAACTCCATCCTTCTGATGTAATGTAATAGTATTCTATCTGTTAAATACTTGTACTAATGTTACACGGTTATAATGCACAAAGTAATCATATTAACATCTTGACATGACTGGTGATGCACAGTTTACCATTTCCTATCAAAAGACTGGGTTTGTTAGATACTCTGTACCGTTACTGCTGTGTGCATGTGCTGATAATCAGACTGAAGGCCTTAGCATACTTCTTGCGGAAACAACGTTCGCCTGGCTTCAGCAAACAATGACGTAATTGCAGAGAAAACGAACATCTGCAGTGGAGGCTTCGTTCGCCATGTCACGCACATGGCAGCCAGACGAACTCCGCGGACGAAGACACTACACGGCAAAGCCTGTGATTGGTCGGAAAATGAGGCGTGGCATGAAACAAAGGTCGACGCCTTTGAGGAGCTTCATTTTGCAAGACGTACGCTGAGTGCTTTGGCAGAGACACCAATATTTCACTGTGAAACCGTAACATAAATACAAATATAAGATAATCTATATCTTATTTTAAGGTTCACAAGAGGACGAGGCTGAAGTTGGCTTTGTATTTGCCAGCTTTTTGTTTGAATTCTCCCGTTCCACCTTACCTGGTGGCAGCATTCTGGACTTGCACGTCGCCGTAGTTAGAACTGTGACAAATCGTTTTTCCACCAGTCATAGAACTCATCATAAAATGTCACAGCGTCACCTGCATGAGTGGCGCATCAGTGACAGGCAACACGAAGCCCCGAAGGCACTTTCGGCTTCGCACAACCCTCAAGAATTTCGTTTCGAAAGAAGTATGCTGAGGCCTTTAATCATAAACTCTAACTGACCTGCATGCCAAAGTTCTGCAGCTGTCTAGCGGCAGCGAGTCCTGAGGGTCCTGCTCCAATCACCAACACCTTCTTCTGCAGACAGCAAAGGACAGAAAGAGAAGCATCATCCACAAAGGAACTGTCAGTGCAATTTTCATCAAAGCCCCTCTCTGCATTTCGGAGGAACATAAATTATGCAAAACAATTCACATTAGTGGTTGTGGTCAGATGGTGTTCGTATAAGCAGCAGGGAAGGGCTGCCAGTGTTTGTAGTGGGTCAGCAATGGCAATGATGATAAAAAAATGTGTGGGTCCTTACAAGACAGAGATGTGTTCACAGTGAAATCAGTCCTTCAGGGAAGGCATTATGATTTCTGGAATTGTCTCATTTTTATTGCTAATTTTTGTTTGACAATATAATCATTATTACTGTATTTAAACTCTGCAAATATTGTAGTAACAGTCTTTCGTTTATTGTTACGTTTCTTGAAAGGAAACCTTTACATTTTAAAACACCCAGTAGAAAATTGTCCAATCATGATGTTTTTATGTGGTCTGTAGGTAGATACAGTCAAGCGAGCTCTCTCATTGTTTAGGCCTTCAGGAGCTGGACAGAAGGCCTTACACACCAGATTAACCACCAGGAACTGACAACTACCAGCAGATGGGACCAACTTCATGAGAAAAAAAAACATCAATCTAGACCCTCTGAAGCAGTCTAACCAGGTTTTAGTCAGCGTCAGTTGTTAGAAATGGGAAAAAGTGACACCAGCTCTATGCCAGGACTTGACAAGCTTCAAATTTATGTGTTTAATCTAGGACTTTCAGATAAATCCCACAGAGGACGCTAGCAGACATTAGCATTATTGTAGAGATGTCTTATATTATATTATATATCGTTTTTTTTGACAGAGTTTTGACATTTATGGCCTAATCTGTGGTCATAATGACCCACAGTTACATGTCACCACTGAATGAAATATTACAAACATGACTGTGAGTACCGCAACCCTATCTGGACTAAGCAGTTAACGATGATGATGATGATGATGATGATGATGATGATGACGACTGTGAGCCCTTAAGGTAGAAAGTTTAGACCTGAGCAGAAACGCTGAAATGAGCAATAAGGATAATCAACTGAATGCAGCCAAAGAGGGCAGAAACATGAGTATCATGCAGTGCACAAGCACTGAACCTTCTTGGAGGGAAGCTGTTAGCATCAGTAGTTAGCACAAGATTAGGTGACTCAGACTGACGTTGTGGTAGGGCTCTGGCAGCAGAGGCCGTTTGGCCAGCAGCGCTCCGGTGTTGATTAATCCTTTCCGGGTCATGAAGTGCAGAACTCTGTTTAGCTCTTGAACGCAGCGGATTCTCACCAAACCCCGCACGATAACGTGAGGCGCACACTTCTGCGGGGTTAAAGCCTCCTGTGAAGTCAAGAAAAACCTCATGTGAAATTAAAGCACAGCGAACATCAAAAATAATCAAATGATATTAGAAAGATCATGTGATTTACACAGTAACATATACTCAATGCCATATCAGGACTTGTAAAAACGGTAGCTTTATAGAAGGAAAAACATTCCTTATTTTGAAAGGGCCCATATTCGATGTTTTTCTTGTATTTTATCATTTCCCAGAGGTCCAGTTCGTGCACCAAAATCAGTCATATTTAATTTTTCCAAGGACTGTTTTTTTCCCACAGAATTAAACAGGCTGTTTTTGTTACTGTGTCTTTACAGCTGATATATGTAAAGGAACTCTGTTCCGATTAGGTGCCCTGTATTTTGCCTCCTTCAAAAAGCAGCCCAGGAAGAAACACTCCTTATAACTTCAGTGTGAATGGATGCTGTAGGCTGACCAAAGTGACACATGAAATTGCATTGGTTTTCATAGCATCACCAAAACAACAAAATCAAAATGAGCGGTTTTTGCAGCTTGGTTTTCACATATGGACTGTGTGGAGTGGGGAGTGAATGGACCATTTTGATGAAACTTTTAAATAAATTACTTTATTTAACCTCTTACACTCATGGGTATATTTCGGTTTTTCCATCTGAATTTACATGACCATATCATAAGGCAAATTATTCAGTAACTGCATGAAATAAATGTAAATTTTGGGTTCTTTTTTTGTAGGTTCCCCTTCAAATTAGCACAACATGTGTTTTATGATCATACACATATTGCTATATGCTTACAATTTACTGCTGAAAGCCAAAAATCATCTTTTATAAAAATAATTTTTACAGAGCAGATCACTGAAGAGACACCATCTGGGATCCAGTTTCTACCTCAGATTTCTGGAAAAACGGGTCAACTTTCAATAGATAAAAAAATTGTGAGTTCAGCTTATTTTATTACAAAGTTGTAAAATTACATTACCCATCTATCTGACTAGAAAAAAGACAGTTACTCTCATGACACCCACCTTCTGAATGAAGCTTATAAAATATGAAAGTTATTGACAAAGTGTGTTCTGGTGGTTCCAAGGAGTTAAAAAGGTTTGGATCATTGGTGTGTGTGTGTGTGTATATATATATATGTATACACACACACACACACACACACACACACACACACACACACACACACACATATATATATATATATAGGTGAGCACAGACAGCAGACTTGTTAGTGACACTTGTTAGTGAATCCCAGGAGCTCACACTCTCTCGCTCTACTGTACGTGCCCGGTCCTGTTGCAGACTGCACCTCAGGACCCTGCAGGGAGCACGCCTTTGGAAATGCATGGATCTGCACTTTCCACTCAGCTTAATGGCCAGTGGAGTCAGTTTTAGGCTCTGGGGAACACAGCAGCGGAAAATATAGCTCCTCCTGTCAGAAACCTACGCAGAAGCTTAGTCCCACTGCTTCACTCAATTGGCATATGCCTGGGACGCTGTTGCTGTAATAGATGGAAACTTAAGGCCATGCTGTGCACTGGGAGTTAGAACAAGTACAGAGTGCTTATTGAATTCTCTCTTAATGGCTGGTTAAAGACCGATTTCTCTCTTTCACTTTCCCGCCCAAATTAATAAATATATTTCCCTCTTGAGTTGAAAAGACAACTGTGAAGAGTGTAAGCAATGACACTTTAACTCAGTCTTTGTATGATGTGTTTTAGCCAGTCATTTACTCTTTGTGAAGAACAGCTACTTGTTCTGGGTATTGATTTTGCATATTAATGACCACTGCTCTCACTGTCTGTCTAAGGCCCAATCCCATTTCTTCTTTTTACCCCTACCCCTTATTTTCGAGTGTCACCCTAACCCCTTGGAAATGAGTTACAAGGGGTAGTGGTTGAAATCTTACCCTACGGAATGGGACAATCCCTCAAATAAAAAAAATAAAAAAAAACATTACTTCATTAACAGCTACTAGCGCTGCTCTGTAGGCGACCCGGGCCAGCTTCAGTGATAGCAGAGAAGGGTAAAGTTCAGCAACCTCACTGCTGGGCTTTAGTTACATTTAGGGCACCATATGCCTTCAAAGAGGGGGGCAATTATTTATTATCACTCACCGCTAATTCTTTGGTGATACGAAGCTGAAGTCAGATAATTACCAGCTTCTTGTTCAAATTTTCCCGTTCCACCTTAAATGGTGCAGCAGTTACATTCTGGTGCTTCAGGCGTCAGAACTGCTGGACTATTTAAGGTGGAACGGGTAAGTTAGCCAGCTAGCTACTGAAACATTAGCATGCTATTAGCGATTTTTCATGTTTGTTATGAAGAAAATGACCATAATACATTGAAACAATATTAAACTAATATAATACAATGGTTATCATAATTTTTAACTGAGAAAATTCTCACATTTGTGGGTTTCTTTAGTTGCTCAGCCATCTTGCCGGTTTTTCTTTTTTTCTCATAACTCTCCATTTGGAGTGTCGCCTCTGAAAAACCTCCGTTTGGAGGGCCATGTAGCCCAAACACTTTGCGCTACTCCTCTATCTCAACAAAAATTGGGACACCCTAACCCTAGACATGAATGCGCAAGACAGAGGGCTAAGGGCTAAGTGGTGGGGCAAGGGGTGAAATGGGATTGGGCCTAAGAAACGGGGACAGGATAGGAGGCATGGCTTTGTGCATTGGTTGAAAGCTCTACAATGGCTACCAAACAGCACAGTAAATAGAGACTTTACAGGTTCAACTTTTTAGGTCTGTTTATGTTAAAAGAACAGATACAGTCAGTAAATCATGAGCACATGCCAGCCAAGCAATGTTTACTACAGAAACCTTGTAATTCGCTTTGAAAGTGGCGTTTGTTTACGTGGTAGCCCCTCTAAGATAATGCTAATTTCCTAGTATATAATGATTTGCCTTTTTTGTTACTATCAGGCTAACAGTACTGACTGTTGGCATTCACAACAGCCCCCTAGATTCATTGCAGACATCTGCAGCTCATAAAAGATACTGCCTTACGAGGCAACCAATGTTCTTGGAACTCTACACTGACACCTATCTGTACGGGTGATATGAGCGTCTTTACTGCATCCAGCAATATGCACAAAACCCTTTAATTATGCAAAGGGTCCTTTGAGTGTTCATGTTTCCACATAGAACCCTTTTCTTTACTGAAGAACCCATGAAGAACCATTTTTTAAGAGTGTACCTATGTCTTTTTTTAGGTTCCTTCCAGAATTGTTGATCAACACCTGTGATTTGTACAATTCATCCAATAATACTGCAAATACAGTGACTTGAAAGTAGGGGAAGTGAGCTCAGGATGAGGATGTGAGACTGGGGGCACCACACTGCTCAAAATATGACTAGAGCAACATGGGAGAAAGTGTCTAGCATAGTCTTAACAGCTTTAACCAACAAGCATGCACATCTTTTTCTTCTATGGCGAGTTTGCCGGGCTGTTGTCACATGATTTAAACATGGCACTGCAAATGTGTGGACCTGCGCATCATTACGATAAAACCGTTCATACAAGCCCTTGAAGTAACTTGAGTCTTCGTCTCAGGCAAGTGTACACTGATCAGGCATAACATTATGACCACCTCCTTGTTTCTATGCTCATTGTCCATTTTATCAGCTCCACTTACTATATAGGTGCACTTTGTAGTTCTACAGTTACAGACTGTAGTCCATCTGTTTCTCTGTTTTTAAACACCTCAGTGTCACTGCTGGACTGAGAATCGTCCACCAACCAAAAATATCCAGCCAACAGCGTCCAGTGGGCAGCGTCCTGTGACCACTGATGAAGGACTAGAGGATGACCAACACAAACTGTGCAGCAGCAGATGAGCTAGGTGGACTGACAAGGTAGGAGAGTCTAATAGAGTGGACAGTGAGTGGACACAGTGTTTAAAAACTCCAACAGCGCTGCTTTGTCTGATCCACTCGTACCAGCACAACACACACTAACACACCACCACCACCACGTCAGTTGCTGAGAATGATCCACCACCCAAATAGTATCTGCTCTGTGAGGGTCCATACGGGTCCTGACCACTGAAGAACAGGGTAAAAGGGGGCTAACAAAGTATGCAGAGAAACAGATGGACTACAGTCTGTAATTGTAGAACTACAAAGTGCACCTATATAGTAAGTGGAGCTGATCGGTGTGTGTACACTCTGCTTTCAGATTTCCGTTGTTTTCCCGTTAGCCGTGAAATTGTCTTGCATCCTTTTCTCTCTTTTAGCTCTCGCCAACAAGGCGAGATTTACTTTTGTCCAGTCTCTTGCTTGGTCACTCTTTCTTTTTCTCTTCCTCGCTTCTCCAACAACATCTTCTGGTGCCATAAAGTGTTATGTTTTTCTCAAGAGAGGTCTCGTGCCCAATCTTCCAAAGTTACATAGCGCTATAGCAGGCATTCCGGGCCCAGAGCGGCAATGACAGAGATGCTGTTCTCACTATTATAAGTCAGGGTCCCGTCAAAATGATTTTGAAGCTATTATTTTAGGGTAAAACTGTTACCTTATGTTGCTTTAAGAGCTGGCTGAGTGGGCGCTTTTGTTCAAGTGAGGTGGGGTACTTTGCTATATTTGACGCTCTAGCAAATCCGAACAGCCTGCAGAATCTCATGCCCTTTGTAAAAGGAAAATGCTCCAAAATGGCAGAGACTTCACATTTTAGAGTTTCTTGGATGGTAGATACCGTTACAAACAACGTGGACTGGCAAGGAAAACACAGTTTTGTTTACTAGGTCTCCCTTAAAGCAATAAAAGGAACAACAAATAAATTAAATGTACACAATTTCTGCCCCTCCCCCAAACACAGTCCATCAGCTGAGACACATTTATTGCTTAAAGTTAGAAGTCTTAAGTAGCTAACAAGGAATTGAAGCTTTTACTCCATTAATTAGCTAATTTGCCAATTGCTACTAACTGCGAGAAATAAGATTTAGTACCTTGCAGTCTCTGTGCCAGGCAGCCAGGATGAGGTTGCGCAGAGCAAGGTACATGGTGGGATCCCTGGAGAATTCTGGGAACTCGTAGAGCTCGTCCAGCTCCATCATGTCCGGCCGCACGCAGAGAGCTTTTCCACACTCGTTGGGCTGGTAGAACGGCTGGAAGTATGGGCACAAACCTGGGACTGAACATATACACAGAGATACATGAATTACGGCAGTGCAGTGGTGCACTTTCTACCAAATATCATCATGCATTAACGAAACTTTACTCAATTGTGTATTTTGTTGTAAGATAGCTGAGTCCAAACTCAGCAGTAAGATTGCAACTTATGCCACCACCATTACTAAAAATTCCATCTGTCTCCTGAGGTTTACTGCAATCTTTTGTAAATGCATCATATGAATACTACAGAGTAGAAATGAAAAGACCTGCAGAGATTGTGACCACAAGAATAAACGGATCTTTACTGTTCTTCTGTACTAACTCTGTGGCTGGATGTTGCGGCGCTGCTCAGGCCGCAGGTCACCATGTGAACTGGACGGACTCATGCCCACGCAGTCGGGGTAGTAAGCGGTGAGGAAAGGGTTAGCCGGACTCTCCTTGAACAGCGGCGGCAGAATCAGCATGGAGTGCCACCAACTATCAGCTACACCAGCCACTCTCTGAGAGAGAGAGGGACACAGAGTAGAAATGCTTCAAGAATATATTTTACCACCGAACAATTACAATAATTAGGACGAATACTACTATTTAAAGCTTTTCAGAAACCAAAGCAGAATGAAATTATTAGAAAATCCATTCAAATATACGAGCTGACTCACCATGTCCTCAGGTTGAGAACACTGATCCGGTCCTTCACTCTATAATAAAGACAAATAACACAATTAATTTTCTGTTAAATAAACAGAGGTTTCTAAATGATTTGTATTGGCATATGGTTTCATGAGAAAGCTTTAATTCATATAGAACAATAAATGAAAGTTGTTCAAGGTTTAAAAAGTTCTTTTAACTTCTTTACCAAAAACAGTGCTTTTAAAGAACCATCCACGAAAGGGTTCTTAAGGGTAGGCCTTCTGCTTTAGAGAACCAACAGAAGACTGTCTGAAGTGCCCTGAGCACTAGTTTAAGAACCACTGCTTTAGGGAATGAACATCTGGGGAGCCCTCTGGAATGTCTGGAAAAATCACTGTTTTGGGGAACCAGCAGCGGCCCTGAGCACTAGCTTGAGTACCAGTGCTTCAGGGAATCAACAGTAGACTATCTAGGGGGCCTGTTTGAGAAGCACTGTTTTCGGGAAGACACGGTGGACGTTTTAGAGAGCCCCGAGCGCCAGTCTGATTGTTTAGGGAACCAATAGTGAACAGTGAAGGGGGTTCTGGGGACTGGATTGAGAGTAACTGCATTAGTGAACCAACAGTCCTTCTTCTAGAACTTCTTCCTCTTTCTTGTCACAGCAGTGGAGGGATTGGTGCTTCTAAAGCTCTTAATTCAGCTCAAGAAGAACTTGCTTTTTAGCTGATGGAACACTAAAGTCTGCAGTGTTGGGCCTGGAAGGAACCCAATTTTATAGTACTATTGTATAGCATTATTCCAAATAAGCCTTTTTGTTACCTTTAAAATTATAGTGTGGACTGTTTCAGTCTCTTACTTTAACGTTGTTGAGCTTCATACCGCAGCGGTACGTTGCAGCCAGCGAGGCAGTTAGCTGAATCTCTTTAGTGAGCTGCCTCCACTTCCCGCAGTCTGGCTTTGTGCACTGAACCTGAAGAAAGAGACCACACGTATGAGAAAAGAAAGAAAGACCAGAAAAAAAAACCTTTCAGTATGATTATGAAAGGAGTGGCTTCTAAATTTCCAGAGTGGGTGAGCGTTTCGTCTTTGCTTGTCACTTAGAGGATGGATTTAAATGTGTTAATTTCCTACAGAGGATGGTGACAACTCAGCACACCTCCAGAATTATCAGGGGCCTTCAGATGTTTCAAGGGCTTCAGTGAATGGCAGGGGGGCATGAAGTCTTTGGATTTTGACAAACTAAAAAAGTACCACAGGCATTTCTTCAATAGGCATTTCTCACCCAGTAAGGGAGCTGCTGGTCAGCCATAAAGGCCTTCAGACTGGGCTCACTCTTCCCGTTTTCCGTCCACAACCTCTTCCACGAGGTGTACTTCTCATAACCTTCCTTGTGACTTACAAAACATAAAGACACAGAAATGAAAGTCGGACGAATACGGGTATAGATCTCTCATCTCACAATAATCAAACTTGATTATGATTCTTTAGGAAACGATTAAATCAATTAGGAAATCCCAAATCTCACCACAATTATATTTGATCTGATTATTTTCAAGTAATTCAGAATGTTTAAATTCACATTGAACACAAATGTGACAGGAGAAACATTTACATTTACATAATAGTGCAATATAGATAATAAAACAATACACCAAGCTGTTTTTTACTTTTACGCTTAAAAATAGGTGGAGAATTTTATTGTTGCCAAAAAAGGAGCACATACTTAATTGAATATCATTACAATAAATTATAAAATTCCAAAATGATGCAGCTTAATTGCTACTTTCAGTGCATTCTTTCACTTCTAAAAAATGTATGTCTGTAACTTTAACAAGAGCTGAGGATAACTGGTGTAGGCAGACACTGAGGCTACATTCATGTTGACTGATGTACCATAAATCAAGATTTTTTGCCTTTTCATCTTTAACTGGGCCTGAAATTTTGGTCCAAACACAAATACTCTGTCTAAGCGTGACCTAACCAGACACACAGTGTTGCATTTTAAATCCGAACAGGCCCCAAGCCCAGCAATATAAATTACTGTGTAGCGTCAATAAAAGCCACCATTAGATCATAAATAAATAAAACGACAAAAATCAAAGCAACATACGGTTTGTAACAACATTCAAAACCTTTTTTTGGTCTGGATAGACTTTCCAGGACAAGCTGTTCTCACACTGTGTGGTGCCGACAGTGAAGTGAGAGATGTTAGTCTTCACTTGTTTGAGTCTAAAACTCCAACTAAAACTTGTTTTTACACAGAAAATGTTACATTATACTGAATATATAAAAAAATTCTTTTAGCCCAAAAAAAACAAAAAACAAAACTTTTGGCTATACTAAACACTGCAAAAGCATGAATTTATCTGTTTTTATTTTTTAACCTACTCAATGATCAACAACTGAGAGCTGTTTTGATCTTTGTAATAAACACTTGTGCTTGTTATTCATTTGTTTGTTGTTCACGATGCACGTGGCTCATTCACAGGATACTATTCATTAGGATGTGTGTCTGTGGGTCGTTTTAAGCACAGGTTTGTTCACAGTAAAGTCAGATATTGGTCAAGGCAGAAAGACAATCTGAGCAAAAAAAAAAAAAAAATCTAAACTGAGCTAGTAATGTGAACACAGGCTGAGACTATTTTCATGTGCATTACTTAAACCTCACCTTCTGTAGTAGTGGTCAAAACACTCATTACAGAAGTGCTCTCCACAGGATAAGTGGTACCAGCGGGACGTGTACCCATTTTTCGCACACCTTCGGAAGAGAAAGAGATCAGATCACCACACGGCAACATCAACATCAAAGGCAAGCTGTAAGTGAACGCGCGGCACCTTTCCGATGCGCTGGCGAAACAAACGGGGTACGTGGCAGGACACCCAGCCTTCTCACACTTCCTGAACTTCTTCTCCACCTGCTCCTCCTCCTCCTCTGTCTCTGGAGCTTTTCTTTTAGTCTAGGAATTCAGAACAGAGAAAAAAATACAGCAGAGGTTCCTGAACTACAGGTCTTATTTACACAAATCTCAGGTCCAAAAGAGTTTGGACGGTATGCAACATGCAAATAAAAACAGAAAGCAGTGATTTGTAATTCTACTTTGACCTGTGTTTAAAGTGTTACTTTATCCACATCATTGTTTTTTGTGAATATACAAAATTGATGGCTGCAACACATTTCAATAAATTTTTAAATAAAAGGGATGGGGCAATTTAAGACATTGGGAGATGTTCAAAAGACATCTTAAACAGGTGATGCAGTCATGCTTGCTCATAGAAAGAACATCCAGGAAAGACTTGGTCCTTTATGAATAAGGGTGGATTGAGGCTCACCACTTAATCTCATCAAATGCCTCACTCAGATGGCACTGCTTTAAGAACCAGCATTCTTCTGTTATGGATATTAACACTTGCTCGGGAATTCTGTACTTAGCACAGTAGAAGCTATATTTCAATAATGTGCAGAAACGCTGCCGACTTCTCTGGGCTTTAGCTCATCTGAAATGGACGGATGTACAGTGGAAACGTACTGTGATCTGACGAGTCAATCTTTCAGTTGCTCATATAAATAACAGATGTGTTCTCTGGGTAAAAGAAGAAAAGGATCGAGCAGGTTGTTACCAGCGTAAAGTTCAAAAGCCAGCATCGGTCATGTTATGGGGGTGTTATTAGTGTCCATGGCATAAGTAATATGCATGTCTGTAAAGATCATTAATGTCGAAAGATCTATACACATTTTGGTGAAAATATATTTTATGCCTAGTAGATGGCCCTGCATTTCAGGGACACCCGTGCTTATTTTAACACAACAACTCCAAGCCATGTTCTGCATGTGTTACAACAGCATAGCTGTGTAATAAGAGAGTACAAGGTGCTAGACTGGCCTGCCTGCAGTCCAGATCTGTCTCCCACTGAGAACGTGTGGCGCATTTGCAGGGAACTGATTTATAAAACGAGTGTATGCTTGAATATACGCATGCCTCTTTACAACTTCTGTTCAACTCAGTCATTTATAAATTGCAGACAGTCATGGAGATGAGCGTATGTGAAAGAGCATATCAACCCCACCCAACTTTTAACTGATGAATGTCTCCAGTAATAAAAAGCTCTAAAGGAGATAAACAGGTATAGTGCAGTTACAGCACGTTCTCTTCTACACACACTGTGCTCGCTAGTTAAACTTACCAGAATTGTTTATTTTATTAATTTAGTTATTTAAAACAGACAAACAAACAACAAGCAGTAAGTGCACATATAAGTACTGATATACTACTGGGTCCTGTGAAGACAATATGAGCTCACATTTATTACAGCCAAACTCATGAAACACAGGGAGTCGAATGGCTTATTTTTCAACGAAGAAAAAATAAATCACATTACATAAATATGTAGAAAGTAAAGCATTTATAATAGTAAAAAAGCAAAACTGTTGCCACTGCCACCGTGTACCACACTGACGGTGCTTATTTTAATAATAACTGCTTTATATTTCTGATATCTATGTATGCCTGATTTGTTTCTTCTGCAGAAAGGCAATATTTTCCAAATGACTGATGCCACAAATGTCACAAAGAAAAAAAAAAGACCCAAAAAGTAGCCCAGTAAAAAGTGATCCACCATTGTGAGACAGAAATCCAGGGCTAAATAGAAGCAAGTTAAAGTTAGTTGGCTAAGCAAGAAATCCTGCTTTGTGAGCCAGGCCCCAGGACCGGAATTAAAGCATGAACGTAAGATAATCTATACATGTCTGCATACATTGGCCTGTGCCGTCGGAGTGCTGGTGCTCCGTTTGGACCGGGCATTAGGAGCCTGCCTCGCTGAGCGCATGGAGCTGCTTTCCCCTGCCGAGGAATCTACCGTCACTGCCGATCCCGCTCGCTTTTTTCCCCTCGAGCGACTGCAGGGCGCCGTCCCCCCATAATCTGTGGTTAAGACATGATTACAATAGTAAAAACATCACCGACAGCACCAACTACTCACACTTTGTTAATATGTCAGTCAGACAGATAACAAACAATAAGAGATTTAGCTTATAGTTGGGACATAAGACAATATTTATTGCTGCTGCAATAATTTATGTCACAATGTGTCTGAATATGCTTTGACAAGCATATCATAGATAACGTCAGTACTTAAAGAACGAGGAACAACTGCACATTTCATTAAAAAGAGAACATAATTAGTCCTGTTTAATTGGATTTAAATAAATAGAACTATTTTTGTTATACACTTTGAAAAATGACGGTTCTTCAAAAGGTTCCTTAGTAAACAAAATGTTTCTATATTGAACCACTTGCATGATTAAAGGGTTCTTTGCATTGTTAAATGGTTTTTCTTCAAATTGGTGGAGAATCTGCTGTATATGGTTCTATACAGAACCTTTGTGAAAAGGGTTCCATACAGCACCAGATTCTTCTAGCGTTACCATGTCAAGCTTGTAACAACAGAAGAACACTTTTCAAACAGGTTCTGTACAGAACCATCTACAGCACATTCTCCATCAATCTAAAGAACGCTCTCACAATGCAAAGAATCATTTAATATATATATATATATATATATATATATATATATATTTAATAATGCAAAGGTTTAAGTGTTCATGCTTCTACATAAAACTATTTCATACTAAAAAACCTTTGAAGAACCATCTTTAAAGTGTGTAGTTTTTGCTTGCAATGGAATACAGAATATAGAGAACTTGTGGTTCTAAATAGAACCACTGTCTTTCCAAAGAACCCTTGAGGAACCATCTTTTTAGTTGTGTACTGATCCACGATACGCTCAGAAAGGAATACCGCGGTATAATCCATCACGATACCGATACTCATCGTCATATTGCCCACCCCCAGCTGCAAGGCTTCATTGTCTTGCAGCACAACAGAGACCTTACAGTTTCTCCATTACCGCAGCTTTTGCGTAAGCAACGGTATCGCTGACTGTCCTCGCCAACACGACTTCAAACACGAAAAACAGTGAAATATCAGACCTTCAGCACTACTGAAAGACTGGCGGATACACACTAAGGGGGTTTACTATACAGCAGATACCGAGCTAGTTACGTTTGTGGATTATATCGAACAAACCCCTCGGAAAACTAAGGCAGAGTTACTACAACCGCTAAGTAGTCGGTAACGGAGCCCGTTAAGCTACCAAACTAAACCGCTCGTTCTGGACATCGTTATTGACTGTAATGAGCCCTGGCTCTGAGCTGAGGGGCTGATCGGTTCTGAGTGGTCCAAGTTCGTCTGGGCTGGTTTGTAGCGCTTTGAGTGAAAACAAGCCCAGCAGAGCAGCGGCTCCTCACTGACCTGCGTCCGACAGCATCGACGGAGCTCCGCTGCTCTTCGCTCACACACAGCGCTGCTGCCTTCCTGCAGACACTAAGGTGTCCCGCTAACGAGAGAAGAAGGGTGGGCGTCTGTTTGTCCAACGCAGCCTTTGTTTTTTTAATAAAAACTCAAGAAAGGCTGGCCGACTCCAGACATTTAATCCAGCTTCCGTTTTTGCGAGCTGCAATAAGCGTCAAAATAAAAGTCCACAAGTATGTGTAGTAAATACTGTAGCTGCGTTCATTACTCGACGTCGTTTAGACGATTTTTAATACGTATATTGACTTTTCCCATATATATATATATATATATATATATAATCAACATTTACCCGTTTGTACATATACTAAATTAGCTCTTGTGAATGTGAAATATTTATTGATTGACTACTGCTAATGAATGAAAGTCAATGTAAACTGCAAATCACAGCACATTTTGTGGTAATACTACTACTACTACTTCCATGCACAGTCATATAAAACTATTTTTACAAGAGCATTAGTGAGGTCAGGTACTGAGGTAAGGTTATACACCTCACCTTAAAAAAAAAAAATTAAAACACTAAATATTTTGGTTCTTCAAAAAGTTCATATACATAATATATATATATATATATATATATATATATATATATATATATATATATACAAATGAAGGAATGCATATGGGAATCTTTTCAAATGATATATATATATATATATTTGTTATAATTTTTTCTTTTTTTAAAATATGTCTATTTATTATTAGGTATTTATATCTATATTTAACTCTTTCACTCACACATCGCCATGCAAAGTCATTTATTCACATTACGTATAAATTAAACCCAACCACACGTGGATTTTATGAGTCTAAAAAAAGCGACCAAAATAACGTTTGAACCCGTCGATGCTCCGTAGATCGTTCCGTTGCCATGGAGACTGTTGTGCATGGGGGCGGTAACTAAGCAGTCCAGGTTCATGTTGTTGATTTTCGCCGCGTACCGTGGTTATAAAGGCGCAGTTATTAAGACTCCCTTTTAGCCCTATTTACGCGATTTAACTGACTTTGAGAGGCGTTTTGCTTGTGATCCATTTAATGCCATGTTATCACAAAGCGGCTGAGTTTGTCTTTCGTTCGGGATGTTCACTGCGGCGCGAATGACAACTAAAGCGCCGAATGGATCCAGGTCTGGAAAAGCTGCTCCACACTTTCCCTCCATTCATCACTTCTTCACTAAGAGTGCTCCGGAGCTCGACCAGGTGGGTGAGAGTTTTGTTACAACGGTGAGCTGCTTGGTTTTCACGGAGCTGAAGTCAGTTTCTTAGTCGCCAACTTCTTCTTCGAATTTCCCCGTTCCACCTTAAACAGTGCAGCAGTTACACTGCGGCGCCTCGGGCACCAGAGTGTGACTGCTGCTCCATTTAAGGTGGAACGGGGAAATTCGGACAAGCAGCTGGCGAATAGGAAGCCAACTTCAGCCTAGTGTCGTTTTCATGGTTTTCTGAATAAAAACAGCCAGCAGCGTATCTGAAGCATGTGTTTTTACAGCCTGCCAGGCATCCAGACCTCTCCCGGGTGGTACGCTTCCTGGAAGACCCTGTTTCAGTAAGTGATCTGAACACTCTGCTCAAATGTGTTCAGTGGGTCTCAGCTTTTTGTTTTTCATATCCTGTGAAAAGGACTGGACTGTATGTCCAAAAGTTTGTGGACACCCCGATAATTGGTGAATTCTGCTCATTTTAAGGGGAATTCTACAGATTTTTTAAAATGTCTGCATAATTAAATGGTTAAGACATTCAGAGTGGTTTGGTGTGAAATGCTCTGTTCTAGAGAAACTTGCAGAGTCAGAATTGTTCAGAGTGGTGGTGATAGGAACCAGACGTGTGAAGGGTTTAATGCCTCTAAAAGCTCCCTCACAGGAGCCATGTCTGAGACATTGTTTTATGACAGGTTTTACAGTAAAGTTTTGGTGTAAAACAATTTTACAATCAATTACTGGCAAAATAGTCCTCAAAGTAAGTTATTTGTTCAGATTTGGCACTATTTTCCCAGCATCAAGATGACATATAAAAACTCTGGTCATCTCAGATAGTAAATAAAATGGCTTTGTTTATGCTGTAGACACCATGACCAATGTTTTCCATCACCACCACTGTAAAGAAGTCAGTACGTTTCTCTATAATTAAGCATTTTCAAACCACTCTGAATAACTGTTTGCATCTCAGCAATTGAACTATGCAGACATTTTGAAAAATGGGTGGAATTCCCCTTAAAGGTGCACCTGTGTTCAGTTGCCCTTATACAGGCTGTATGAAGAGCATTGACCAATTGAATAGGAGCAGCCACACATGAGCCTAAGGTCACCTTGCCCAAAGCCAAGTGTTATCTAGAGGGATTTAAGACCCCAACACTGGGCTGTGGAGCAGTGGACCTGTGTTCTCTGGAATGATGGAGCTCCATCCCATAACTTTGGGGTGAGCTGGAGTGATCCGGAACTGACCATCCAACATCAGAACCTCACTAATGTTCTTGTGGCTGAATGCAATCAAATCCTCACAGCAATGTTCCAACATATAGTGTAAAGCCTTCCCATAAGAGTAGAAAAGCAACTCCCTATTAATACCCAGATTTCAGAAGAAACACTGGATGAGCAGGTGTCTACTGACGTTTGGACATACAGTGTAGTTTATATATTTGACCAGTTAGTGAAATGTTCAGTAGAGAACTCCACTGAGTGTAAACGTTTGAATATGATCTCTTTACCTGCAGAGCTCACTGAGAGAGAGGCACATTTCTGCCTTAAAGAAAGTCGCGAAGAGATGCCAGAACGGATTTGTATCCTCACTGGACAGAGAAATTCTGTTAAAATTAGACAACAGGAAAAATAATCCTAAGTGGACATAAAAATATACCTCCATTACCAGCCGGTGGATGTCATGATGTCAGTTGTGATGTAAGTAAGTGTCATCCCAGTCCCTATGGGAACAGAAGCTCCTTGCTGGTCCTCTTGAGTCCAATTACAAACCAATTTGCCAGCCTATGTCAGAGCTTTTTCATATTCTAGTACATAGTATGATAAAGAAAGTACTTTTGTCTGCATGGAAAATAACTTTATTAAAAGGTATTAAATAGCTTTTTGCAAAATGTTCAAAATTTTTGCATTGAGTGGTTTGATGTGAAACGTTGTGCTTTAGAGAAACGCACCAACTCTTGATTTCTTTATAGTGGTGGTGATAGGAACCAGGGGTCGGCCTATCTTCAGTGCAAATGATATGAAATATTGTAGCATCCTGCATCCTGGCTGTGTTGCCATGGGAGCAGAAGGAGAGACATTTGTTGTAAATAAGTTGTTGTAAGCTTGATTATGTGCACATGTGTATTGTGCTATTGTTTGTCAGGTTGTGGGGTAGTTTGTGCTTTGTTAATGAGTACCTTCAAGAGAAAGTGCATGACTAGAAATGACCGTCTGTGTCTCGGCAGTTCTCCCTTGCTACCTGTTCAGAAATGTCTCCTGCTTTTTATTCTATGTCGACACCACAATACATAAAAATATATATAATTTTTTACTGTCCAAAATGACCAGTGAACTTACACATGTTTTATATGTAATATTGATAATGATAAAATAATTTTCTTTGGCTATTGTTTTGCCAGGAGTGGTGTTTAAAAGTATGTTTTAGGTAACACTAATTTCTCCTTTAGTGTATTTGTAACAGTTGTACATTGTGTAATAACTTTCTATATAATATATATATATATATATATATATATATAAATAAATATATATATATATATATATATATATATATATATACACAATACACGCCATACTGTCATATGATAATACAAGCAACAAGTTCAGCATGATGCTCATTTAACTTACAGGAAGAGTTTAGCCAAGAAACACATGCACAGACTTTGAAAAATACACATTATTTTATATATATATATATATATATATATATATATATATATATAATATAATATACATATATAATATAATATATAATATATATATATATATAATGTAAACTTTCTATATAATATATAGATATTATATAGAAATCATATTACAGAAAAACTTAGGATAAAAGTCTTAAACTAAAGATCTGACAGGCCAAGATAAGATTTTTCACAAATTCGTATTACAGAAGCAAATCATATCTTAATGTAAGAATCTTATCTTACAGTCTCTTTTCTTATCTCAAATTAAGAAAACTTACTCAATCGAAATTGACAATCAACTGTCATGTCTGTTACCTAGCAACCGACCATACGCGCACAGCTAATGTAAACATGTAATCAAAGTAATCAAGCTAGTTAGCCAGACAGCTAACGTTAGCTACTATTACTGATTTACAGAAAGGTCAAACAAAACTAAAGCGCGATGAACTGAAAGTTAAGAATATTTGTTTCAGCGCTTTGTGCCGCTGACGTTATTCCTCCTAAAAACACAGAAACACGTTCAGCTCTGTCTCCTCATTACTCACCACCAAAACTGTAATATTTTAACTGACGAGTTTTTATCAACATTAACAGACGAAGGTAGTAAGAGGAGGCAGTGGAGATCGTGACTGCAGTGTCTGGTTTCTATCACCACCACTGTGAACAACTCTGACTTTGTACGTTTCTCTAAAATGAATCGATTTCACATCAAACCACTCATGACTTCATTATGCAGAATTTTTTTAATTCAACATTTAAAGGGTTCTAATTGATTCTTAGCTTGGATGTACAGCTTTTGGGGAAAAAAAAAAACTTTTAATTACTGTAGAACCTTTACATCATGTGTAAGTTCTTTAAGCTTAACATCTCATTTACAAAAGAATTTTTTTACAAAATAAGGCTATTTGAGAATAAGTATTCTTGTATGTGATTGCTCCAATGAATCCTTTTTGGAACCTTTAATTTAGAGTGTGGCCTTTATCATTCATTGTCATTCACTCCTTGTTAAATGGACATTTACCAGACCTGTGACAGTTCTCGAGGCTTGTTAAACATTTTCCTTGACATGGCTGCCTCAAGCTTTTGAGAGATCTTGCGAACGTCTTCACGATTTTAAACTTCTGTGCGGAAAAAGCGAAAGAACATCCTGAGTATGCTTTCATATTGTGTGACCTGCTACACATATGCAGGTAAGACTTCTCAATAATCAGTGTAAATGTATAACCCTCATAGGTCGGAAACAGCA